ACTTCCTTTCTTTCATATGCGGTAATGAGCCAAGTCCAACAGCGAGGTAGCTCATTTTCAACAACTAGGCCATGTCTTGGCTCAGGCGGCCTGGGTCTAGAAGGCCTGGGGTACAAGACATTTACGCTAATTAATCGACTTTAGAATTTCCTGGAGACCCTCAGATGGAATTGACAAGACTCGTTATCGCTTGACATATCCGCGGTCACTTGAAGACATGGTGAAATCGAGGATATCTGTTATTACTTGGGCGAAGTAAAGTTATATCCACGGTCGAGGTCAAGGTATACATCGCTCCCGTCGCGATTCCTTTCTTATGCTGTGATGTCAATGTGAGTGAGTGCAGTGGACACAAAACAAAAGTACATATTTGCCCTCCAAATCTCGGAGATATCGCTTCCTCATTTCAAAAAAGAACATGTACATGCCACAAGGCCGGACAGGACAACAATCGAGGCGATGATGGGAATCTATACGCCTTTAAAATGAGTGACCGTGTGCGTTCAAGTTCGGTCTATCTCAAGCTGTATTCTCGTTGCAGTATCAGGGTCTAAAGTATCAGGGTCTAATCTCTTGAATGAGTTCTGGCTGAGTCGAATACGATCTCTGACGACACCGTGCCATCACTAATGAGTACTACCCTGCAAGTGTCGAGGACCCCCGGCCTCGACCTGCCATCACAGCCATTACAGCCATCACAGCCATTACAGCCATCACAGCCATTACAGCCAGCACAGACTTCACAGCGGGGAAAACATGCGGGGAAAGCTCCTCTTGGCATCTGGTGATTAGTTGCTCTCCACCAGTCAGCGCGCTGTATACGTGCTTGGCAGAGACGATGATTTCGATGTCGGGCCGGCATCGATGGCCTTGAAGCTTCCAAGTCATCTGCATCTTGCAGGCTGGAAGCTGCTCAGTCTGTCCGGTTGAGTTAACGCAGCTTCACTTACATAAAGCTAACATATACGATGTTATCAACACACTGAAGCATGAACTTCCAGATCAACGCGGGGCGGTAATAAGAATAACTAACTGTGTGCATGATCCCTGTAATACACCAATAGAGCACATTCTATAGTGCATAATATTTGTTTATGCAGCTCCCATTCCAGGACAAGATCAGCATCATCCGCACCAAAAACGGACTGATTGGATCCCCGATATTTGACCGACTGACCAAGACCCTGCAAATGAAATAATGCACTTGATGACCTTCGTGTTTGCTCCATTTCCTCCCCGCTAGTTGACCTCATTTTATTTTAAAGGATCCAACTGAACAAATCAAGTCTAGTTCTCTTGCTCAGAGCTTTCCTGCCCAGCCCAAAACGGCCAATTGCCGGGTACTTGTAGACTGCGGCCCAGGCGTAATCTCCGCGCAGTCGTTCCGCGTAGTTGGACCTGATTGATCCGATGTGTCTGATGTTTGTCATACAGCCAGACGAACGCCTGCGCCACCGGCCGTGCTCCGGGAGAGTGTAAGATGCATCCGATGGAATGTTCTGCCGCTAGGGCGCAAGCTAAACGCATATAAACCTGGTCTCCCTCACTTTGGATTCATTTCATCCTCAGTCCCAATCTCAAGCCTCAACCTCAACATGTTGAGATCGCTGCTACTTTTAGCCCCCCTTGTGGGAGCTGCCGTGATCGGCGCCAGGGACAACAGCCATGAATGTCCTGGTTACAAGGCCACGAATATCAAGGAGGGTCGCGATTCATTAACTGCGGATTTGACCCTGGCTGGTAAACCGTGCAACACGTACGGCACCGACTTGAAGAATCTGAAACTTCTTGTTGAGTACCAGACTGGTACGTTTTCAGCCTTAAACGGCCGTGATTGTGGCTCACTTCTTTCTAGATAAACGTCTCCATGTGAAGATCTATGACGCGGATGAGGAGGTTTACCAAGTCCCCGAGTCGGTTCTCCCCCGTGTGGATGGCAAAGGTGGATCGAGCAAGAAGTCGGCGCTCAAGTTCGACTATCAGGCGAATCCTTTCTCCTTCAAGGTCAAGAGAGGCCGCGAGGTGCTCTTCGATACCTCCGGTTCGAACCTGATCTTCCAGTCACAGTATCTGAACCTGCGCACCTGGTTGCCTGAGGATCCTAATCTCTATGGTCTCGGCGAGCACACTGATTCTCTCCGCCTGGAGACCACCAACTACACGCGTACGATGTGGAACCGTGACGCGTATGCTATTCCTGAGAAGACTAACCTGTACGGCACTCATCCCGTGTACTATGACCACCGCGGCCAAGACGGCACTCACGGTGTCTTCTTGCTGAACTCCAACGGCATGGACATCAAGATCGACAAAACCGAGGACGGCAAGCAGTACTTGGAGTACAACACTTTGGGAGGCGTCTTTGACTTTTACTTCTTTACCGGTGCCACTCCCAAGGACGCCAGTATCGAGTATTCGAAAGTCGTCGGTCTTCCCGCTATGCAGTCCTACTGGACCTTCGGTGTACGTTTCCTGTTTCCACCTGCCGGTCCTTTGTCTGATTCTCTTCTAGTTCCACCAATGCAGATACGGCTATCGTGATGTCTTTGAGGTCGCGGAGGTGGTCTACAACTACTCCCAGGCGAAGATCCCACTGGAGACCATGTGGACCGACATTGACTACATGGACAGACGTCGGGTGTTCACACTTGACCCTGAGCGATTCCCCCTGGAGAAGATGCGTGAGTTGGTGACATATCTCCACAACCACAACCAGCACTACATTGTCATGGTCGACCCCGCCGTCAGTGTGAGCGGTAAGTTACCTTTCCAAGTATGGAGGGGAATCATCTTGACAAATGATTAGACAATGCCGGCTACAACGATGGCATGGAACAAGGCATTTTCCTGCAGACACCGAACGGTAGCCTCTACAAGGGTAAGCCTCACCTAAAATATCAATGACACCCAGACACTAACCTGTACAGGTGCCGTCTGGCCTGGTGTGACTGCTTACCCCGACTGGTTCCACCCTAACATCCAAGAGTACTGGAATGACCAGTTTGCCAAGTTCTTCGACCGCAAGACCGGCGTCGATATTGACGGCCTGTGGATCGATATGAACGAGGCGGCCAACTTCTGCCCTTACCCATGCAGCGATCCCGAGGGTTACTCTAGGGATAACAACCTGCCTCCTGCCGCTCCCCCAGTTCGTCCTAGCAACCCACGCCCGTTGCCCGGATTCCCTGGTGATTTCCAGCCCTCGTCCTCGTCGAAGCGGTCCACCAAGGGATCCAAAGTTGGACTGCCTAACCGTGACCTGATCAACCCTCCGTACATGATCCGCAATGAAGCCGGGTCCCTTAGCAACAAGACCATCAACACCGACATCATCCATGCCGGCGAGGGATATGCCGAGTATGACACTCACAACCTTTATGGTACCAGTAAGTAGCGTCTATCCTGGTGACGAGCCCAGTCTAACATTCAAAGTGATGAGCTCTGCTTCTCGCAATGCTATGCAGCACCGCCGCCCTGAGGTGCGACCTTTGGTCATCACTCGCAGCACATATGCTGGTGCTGGCGCCCACGTTGGACACTGGTAGGTGCAATCCACCTAAACCTGCGAAACTATACTGACACTAGCAGGCTTGGTGACAACATCTCCGAGTGGAGCAAGTACCGCATCTCCATCGCGCAGATGCTTGCGTTTGCCTCGATGTTCCAGGTGCCCATGATCGGATCAGACGTGTGCGGATTCGGCGGCAACACCACCGAGGAGCTCTGCGCTCGCTGGGCCCGTCTCGGAGCCTTCTACACCTTCTTCCGCAACCACAATGAAATCACCGGCATCCCGCAGGAGTTCTACCGCTGGCCCACCGTTGCCGAGTCCGCGCGCAAGGCCATTGACATCCGCTACAGGCTGCTTGACTACATCTACACAGCCTTCCACCGGCAGACCCAGACCGGCGAGCCCTTCCTACAGCCCATGTTCTACCTCTATCCCAAGGACAAGAACACCTTTAGCAACCAGCTGCAGTTCTTCTACGGCGACGCCATCCTGGTCAGTCCCGTGACCGACGGCAGCCAGACTTCGGTCGACGCATACTTCCCCGACGACATCTTCTACGACTGGCACACGGGCGCCGCGCTGCGCGGCCGCGGAGCCAACGTCACCCTCAGCAACATCGACGTGACCGAAATCCCCATCCACATCCGCGGCGGCAGCATCATCCCCATCCGCTCCGAGTCCGCCATGACCACCACCGAGCTGCGCAAGAAGGGTTTCGAGCTCATCATCGCCCCAGGACTTGATGGGACTGCCTCGGGCAGTTTGTATCTGGACGATGGCGACTCCATCGAGCAGCGCGCCACCCTCGAGCTGGAGTTCACGTACCGCAAGGGCCGTCTCCGAGTCAAGGGCAAGTTTGGTTTCCGCACGGATGTGAAAGTCAATGCTGTCACCTTGCTTGGCCAGTCTGCGCCTGCTTCCAAGTCTGCAAGCCAGGCCTCCTTTGACTCTGGCCGCCAGGCAGTGACCATCAAGACGAGCCTGGATCTCAACGGTCCTTCCGAGGTCGATCTCAACTAGTGTACAGTGTGAATTCATCTTTGTACTTAATTGATCTCCGCCCTTGACAGTATCCATAGTGCAAGGGATAATAAACTAGTCCACGTCATGTCTCATACCTAGTCCGTGAACATAGCAACAGTAGCGTCACCCCACCACTTAGCAAACCACATAAAACATGATTCACTCCAGGAAGGAGAACGTAGATCATCTACTATGCCCCTGCATAAATGACGATGATCCATACTTCATCCACGGGGCCACATACCACGCCATCTCAAACAATGCAAGGGACCGCCGCAACGCGGCATAACAACACGCCCGCGCCTGCGTATATCCATCCCTAGGTAGTCCACCAAGCAATACTCCTCGACCTATTTCAAGAACCCTCATAAGCTAGCCTCTTATCTAGCCATCCATCTCCATCAACTACAACCACTAAACCAACAACCACACCACATATCCAAAAAAAAAGCACAGGACAGACAAAATGAAACTCCAGTTCAAACCAACAACCCTCCTCCTCTCCGCACTTGCGTTTCAACTCGCCCGCGCAGACCTAAGCTACTACTGCGAAATGGCCAAAGACGGCACGAACATGATCCAGAAGGCCTACTGCTGCGATGATCTCAGGCCTGCGCGCTACGCAGAGAATTTCTTACAGGGGGATAAGTGTACGCTTTTACCCCTATTCCCTGGTGCAATGAGAAGGAAAGTAGGAAACTGATGGACTGACGGGATGTGATGTGTAGGTACGCCTGCGGATCCGAAGACGGTGGGGGATACGTGTCCGAATGATGGGATGGTGCCGGTTTGTTGTTATACCATTGTAAGTTCCTCTGGCATGTCTTGCGAGAGAGGGGGCTGGGCTAATGTGGAGATAGGAGCATGTGTTTATCTGTACTTCGAATGGGTATATTCAGAATTTGTAGGGACGCACGGGGAAGTGTATATGGTAGATGGAAAGTATGGTGGTAGGGGATACGGATTGTGTATTGCTGCTTGGTTATGTACTTGGCTCCTAATAGGGCTACCGGCTACTACCTGTGCCTTTTGATAGACATGATCACGGTCTAGTATATTCTCTATAGATCTGTCACACTCTTCTCAGGATAACCTTTCGTACTTGGTGCAGTCTTCTTCCTGAAGCTCCTGCTCGATCTCTTCGTCATCCAGAGTTGTGTATTCTTAAACAATTTTCTCAGCCGTTCGTCACTTTTCTTCTTGGCTGTGAGAACGCCGGTCGTCTCATAAGCTCCTCTGGTGGCACAGAACTCTGCTGTTGCCCTGAGCTGTTTGGGTTTGTCCTGTTGACCCTTGTGGACAAGCTCTGGCAAAGGTTCTGGGTCCATGCAGTCATACCAAGCGCGCTTTAGAGATATGCTGGATAAAGGGAATTGTAGTTAGCTCGACGGTCCCAATAGCATTGATTGCCATCAACAGTGACCTGGGGAGGGATATTGAGGGACCCAGCTGGAGATAATGTGCCATCTATCCCGATATGTGCCCGGAAGCGGTAAATCTAGGCCCAATATTGGTACGGCGTGCATGTACTAGCTGAAGATCTTCCCTTCTGGGACTTGAGAATGAGCTTATCAGCAACTGATTGAGTAAGTGCATGAGGGAGATTGAAGGCTGTGTCAAAGCAGTCCATAGTTATGAGGTAAGGTTATGTTGACCTTTATTCAATAAACACTGTAGTGTTCTACAGTATTAGGCGTATGAAGGACAAAACCTTTGAGGATTTGATTGGATAATATGGTTGAGTTGCCTGCCATTGAGAAGTAGAACAAATCTGAGGGATTTGCCTCTAAACGTATCCATCAGAAGTCTCAATGTGTGGGCTCTCAAAGTGCAGTAAGATGTGACAAAACGGACAGCAGTTTAGCCTCTCCGCGGAGTGGTTGTGGGGGCTCAATACTTTTGCACTCCCACTGTAACTCAATTTTGTCGTTATCATCACTTATGGACTGAGGTACGAGAGAATTCCCCCAAGGCTATCTGATTGACCAACTCCAGACAAAGCGCCATCGTAATAAGGCATCCTTAGTGTGGCCAATGGTGTTTGTCTTTTACCGCCCAGGCTCCTGCCTCATGCACAGCACAAGGCTGAGCTTTAGCAGTAAGTATTATCTCTCCAGTCCGCTCCTTTTTACCCCAGAGGCGATGTCAGATATGATATCCCTCTGCTTCTGCCTTTCAGTTTCTCGTGAATATACATCTTTTGTCGCCAAGTCAGATCAGAGCTGAAATCCGTCTTGGTTTTCACCACCTAACAACCATGACCATGCCTTGTCCTGCACGAGATGAATTCCAGATCGGTTGGATCTGTGCCCTACCTATTGAGGCGGCCGCAGCCAAGGAAATGCTCGACGAAGACTTTGGAATCCTCGAAGAACAAGATGCTGCGGATACAAACTCATATAGATTGGGTAAAATTGGGAAACACTATGTCGTGATCGCCTGCCTGCCCGCAGGACAATATGGAGCCTGTGCAGCTACGACAGTCGCAAGCAACATGGTCCGCACATTCTCAAAATCGTTACGGATTGGTCTGATGGTCGGCGTCGGAGGAGGGATCCCATCCCCCGATCATGATATACGGCTCGGCGATATCGTGATTAGCTGCCCGACAGGCACTTGTGGAGGCGTGATTCAGTATGATATGGGCAAGGTCACTGCGGACGGTGTATTTTGCCGAACTGGCTCTTTGAACAGTCCTCCCAGATCATTATTAACAGCAGTTAGCCAGATGAGGGCTGCTGAGCTAGCCGATGACCCCCTCTATCTGAAATATCTTCAAACAGCAATCAGGAGGACCCGACGAACCCAGAAAAACTTTGGCCGACCCAGTTCACAAAGCGATCGATTGTTCAAAACCAAGCACGAACATCCTGGTACTCTGAAAAACTGCGATATGTGTTCGAGAGATTGGGAAGAGACTAGGAGTGAACGGGACAGCCAGGAACCGCTGCCACATTATGGTATTATTGCTTCGGGAAATTCCGTTATCAGGCACGGTGGCACAAGAGAACAGCTCCGTTTGGAATCTGGGGCGCTGTGTTTTGAGATGGAGGCAGCAGGCTTGATGTTAGACTTCCCTTGCATTGTCATCCGTGGCATCTGCGATTACTCTGATTCGCACAAGAACAAGCAGTGGCAGGGATATGCAGCATTGGCGGCTGCGTCATACACGAAAGAGTTGCTCGGTTACGTGCCCTGTGGCCAGGTGTCACAAGAGATTCTTGCAGTAGATGTATGCAGTAAGTAATGTCCGGATTAGCCTAATATTTCGAAGAGCATGTGGTTTACTTATCACCGTATAGGCTCCATAGAAAATTTAACTCAAGAAGTCAAAGGCACAAATCAACGTCTGGACACGGCATACGACCAACAAGAACGGCACTATCGCGAACAAACAGCTAGAGTCCTGACCGAACAGCAACAGAAGTGTCACCAAGTATTCAAGACATCAAACTATGAGCAGCACAAAGACATTAATCCAGGTCGTGTACCAGGGACATGCCAATGGGCTTTGCAAAATCCACATTATCTCCATTGGTGGAATAGTCGCTGCAATGATTTTCTGTGGATATCAGCAGATCCTGGCTGTGGAAAATCCGTTCTGGCTAAATCACTTATCGATGATGACCTCGGAGCATCTAGTTCAACAGTGTCAATTTGTTACTTTTTCTTCAAGGACAATGGTGAGCAGAACAATCTCGCTACATCATTATGTGCCATACTTCATCAGCTCTTTAGCCAGCAGCCAAATCTGCTACAGCATGCTTTGCCATCGTGGGAAAGGAATGGGAACAAGCTCCAGCAAGAGGCTGGTGAACTCTGGCGGATCTTTATAGCGGCCACATCAGATCCTGCGTCGGCCAATACCATATGTGTGCTCGATGCGCTTGATGAATGTCATCCAGATGATCAAAAACAACTCATCCACAGACTCGAGGACTTTTGCCATCGAACTGATCCATCGACACTTAAGACCTGGTTGAAGTTTCTGGTTACCAGTCGTCCTTATGATGAAGTCAAGGACAAATTCAAAGCTATCAGAGATTCCTTCCCACACATACATCTCAAAGGGGAGGAAGAAAACGATCAAATCCGTGAGGAGGTTAATCTGGTTGTAAGGATGAGAGTGAAGGAGCTGGCCGAGACGGCATCACTATCATCTGATGTGCAGCAGCGTCTCGAGCATCAACTTCTTCAAATGGAACACCGCACGTATCTGTGGTTATATTTGGCCATTGACGATATCCGCACTACATTAAAATACAGCCTTTTACCCGCTGAGGAATCAGTTCGACTGATACCTCCCTCCGTGGACGCGGCATACGAAAAGATACTTGCTCGAGTTCCATCCAATCAAATCCATACAGTGAGAAAAATCCTCCAGATTATTGTTGGTGCACGGCGTCCCTTGACAACACAAGAGATGGCTATGGCATTGGGCATAGCTTTATCGCCGAGGTCGCAAACCGCCGCAGAAGCTGGAATCAACCCAGTAAGATTAGCCAAGAGGATACGACAACTGTGCGGTCTCTTTGTCTTTATCAACAATTCAAAGATATACCTTATCCATCAGACAGCCAGGGAGTTCCTTGTCTGCAGGGATTTGGCCAGCAATCCTAATTCCATCTACGCTTTCAAGCAAACAGACGCTGAGAAACTGATGTCTCAGGTCTGCCTACAATACTTATTAATGGATGATCTGGAACAATCATATTCAGAGAACCAAAGACTTCTGGAATATTCAGCAGTGCATTGGGCAGACCATGTACGAAATGTATCCCTGACGCAGCAACACGAAATTGACGATCTGTTACATCGCATATACGATACAGCCAAAGCTCATTTCGCAGTTTGGTTCCCAATAGTTTGGATGAACGCAGATATGTTTTGGGACGCGCTAGAAATATTGCCAGACACGGCGCCACATATGGATCCAATCCATCTCGCAGCTTTTAACGGGCACACGCGAATGGTCATGAAATTACTTGCTGAAAATAGAAACAGCATAGATGAGGGAGATAATACAGGATGGAATGCGTTGATGTGGGCCTCGCTGAATGGAGATGAAGAGGTTGCTGAGTTGCTGCTAGAACTAGGAGCAGATGCCAACGTCCAAGGTGGAGAGTGTGGTAGTGCACTGCAGGCTGCTTCAGTGGGAGGGCATGAAGAGGTTATACAGGTGCTATTGGAGCAGGGGGCTAATGCTAACGCCCAGGGTGGATTTTATGGTAATGCCCTGCAGGCTGCTTCAATAGGAGGGCATGAAAATATTGTACAGATGCTATTGGACCATGGAGCTAATGCCAACGCCCAGGGTGGGGTTTATGATAATGCACTGCAGGCTGCTTCAAAAGGAGGATATAAAAAGCTTGTACAGGTGCTATTAGACCATGGAGCTGATGCTAATGCCCAGGGTGGACTTTATGGCAATGCACTGCAGGCTGCTTCAATGGGAGGACATGAGAAGGTTATACAGATGCTATTGGACCACAGAGCTGATACTAATGCCCAGGGTGGGTTTTATGGTAATGCACTGCAGGCTGCTTCAATGGGAGGACATGAAAAGGTTGTACAGGTGCTATTAGACCATGGAGCTGATGCTAATGCCCAGGGTGGAGACTATGGTAATGCACTGCAGGCTGCTTCAATGGAAGGACATGAAAAGGTTGTACAGGTGCTATTGGACCACGGAGCTGATGCTAATGCCCAAGGTGGAGGATATGGCAATGCACTGCAGGCTGCTTCAGTGAAAGGACACAAAAAGGTTGTACAGATGCTGCAAGCAGCAAATCTACCTGCAAAGTGATTACCTTGTGATTTTCCTTCCAGAGCTTAAAGATTTTTTGACCCAGAAACTATATGTCTTGCAGTGCGCTTTGGTTATACTCACAAGATCCAACATGGTATTATGCTGTATGTCGGACACCCTGTCACCAAAATGTATTTGCTTCCCGTTTGTGTTGAGGACTTTGCTCTCATTCAGCCCGGTATATTCAGACAGGAAGAGATGGGCCTCTTCCCCGGCATCGTCAGACCCTGGTACCGAAATAGTTAGGCTGCGCAATGCTAATATTGCATGACCTGGGTTTAAGTTGATATACACAGTTTAATACATAATCAATCGAGTGTCATAGTTCATTGTAAAGGCCCCGCGTCTTACAGCTTGCATTAGCTGGCAGTCTCGCAGTTCGGTAGTTTAGCTTGATACGATTGATAACTAGTACGGGCCTTCCATCGAAAGCTTCAAGTATGGACAAGAACGCAAGCATTACGATTATTTATTAGTCGTGGAAATAGGAACCTGGACTAAACATTTACTTGCCCAGGAAAGTGGAGATGCGGAAATCCCCCATCCCAATCTGCCGGCATCTCGGCAAATCCATCCACAACAATTAATTAATCAAGCACAGGAGACTAACCCACACACCGGCTGACCGGCTTTCCGGATTCTGCCCGAGATTATGACGGCCACTTTCCGTTCATGTGATGCGCAAGAAATACGGAACTGTAAATACATCATGTCATAAGTCATAAATCGTATCGCCGCTAACCATGCACACACATTAACTCCTCCGCGTTCGACTTGAACACCCGCTCGGTTAGGCCAGTCTCACTGGCACATAACCGCATGCACAACTCGGTAAACGGGCGAACATCGACACCATGAAACCGCGTATGCGGCCAGTCTGTCGCGTATATTACCCGCCTCGGAGCCCTGCGTAAAAGTTCCCGCGTGATAGCCCCAAGATCGCGCAGTTGTTTGTCCTTGCTGAGACGGTACGGTGCCGAGATTTTGACGTAGGTCTGCCCCGCTTGAAGCAGCGAGATAAGCGCCGAGAAGCCTGGGAGGGTATAGGGGTTGAATTGACGATCGGTGATGACCGAGGGTGGAGGGAGTTGAGGAGACCCAAAGTGGTCGATGCAGATTTTGACTCCGAGGGACGGAACGATCCGTTCAAGGATGGGCATCATGTGCAGAGGCAAGTAAAGCTGGATCATCCAGCCGAGGGGACGGATGAGCTTTGCGTGTTGCGAGAGGGTTTCGGCTAGCTGGGCCTCGGAGAGGACTTTCCCTACTGATTTCAGGTTCACTCGGACGCCCCGCACGCCTAGTGTATGCCATGCGGAGAGAGTCGTGGGACAGGTCGTGACCGGATCGATGACTACTACTGCTCGCCCGTGAGACGGGCCGATGCGTTCCAGGGCTTCGAGGAGGCATGAGTTGTCGGTACCGTAGATGGATGGCTGGACGAAAACGATGTTCTCGATTCCCAATGTAGATTCAAAGGCAAGCGCCTCCTCAAGGGTGTGACAGGAGGGTGTGTACGCTGCGCCTAAGGATACCGGGTACCGACTCGGTTCCACGACGTGCATGTGGCTATCCCATGATCCTGGGGGGATACGGTGCTTGAGGGGGGTGGTGTGTGAGATTTGGTCATCTTTGATGATTGACTCGGCCTTTCTGGCAGCCAGAGAGATTGAGGCTCGGGGTGAGCTGTCCACAAAGCATGGCTTAGACTGTAGAGAAGTGAGTACGGTTGACATGGTCGGATGTCAGACCAGAGAGTAGATGCTGACGAGTGCTAACTTACAAGTGTTAAAAGTCGAGATTTCCGGACTGCTCGACTCAGCAGATCAATCCGTAAGACTGTCATCGCAGAAACCAGCCTCGAAAATCCACGTAGTGTGCCACCTCAGCAAGGAATGTGGCTAGAACCACGAACATGAGAACAGTCCCACCTCCGCTGGCTTTACCAGAGATGCATGGTTGTTAAAGAGATAGAGGGGAAGGGGAACAGAAAGAATTTAGAAGGAAAAAAAGGGCACACGATTGTCGCGTCAGTATTGTACGACACATGGAGCGGAAGGTGACCGTGTCTGTGAATCAACGACTCAGCGACTTCATATCGCATTCCTTGGATCCTTCCATTGACCCATGATCCATCGCCGATCCGACCATTCAGGATGGATTCGGTGTAGCGGAGAGTAGAGTGGATTGCCAGCGGATCCATCCGCCAGATCTGCCAGCCTTGCAAGAACCGACCCCTGTTAACATCGGGGGGTTCCGAAATTGATGAGCTTGAAGATTCCGCTCTGCATCAATCAGTTCTGCTGATTCTGTAGTGTTCAAGAGTCTGAATCAGGACATCACACAGACGCACTATCCCTGTGATTGATGCTGCCTGCATGCGCAAGGGACACGATCATAAAAATGAGGATCGGAAGTTGGCCGAGACGAGAGCCGTGTCATGTGCTTTCCCGCCCCCTGCAAAATCATCCCAGTTCTCGCGGAAGATACCGACCTCAGTCTTCCAGAACGAGGCCTTGGTGGGTATCCGTTTATCTGATTGCCCAGATCATACCAATCAATTGGTAAATTCCATCAAGGGCTCTCCCCGCAAGCTTGAATTAGTACTTGCTCTGTTAGTCCTTCCCCGCATGTCATCGAACGTTCCGTCGCCATCATGAGGCTGGCGCTTGACTGGTCTCGGTGGACCACCAGCCCTTATTACGCCATCGTCATTTTGATTATTGCCTGCGGCAGTATTCCGAAAGGTATGGTGCGCCTTTATTTCTCCACCAATTCGTGTGTTGACCGTGAATGTCGTGTCAATCGGCAGGTTACGATGAAGGTGGCTTTAGCGCGAGTGTCAACTTGGAATCGTTTGTGAACGATTTCCATCTCGCAGCTTCTGAATGGACGAATAACAAGACCGAGTTGGCCAACCGGAGAGCCAACATCACCTCGTTCAACGTTTTGGGTGCTGCGTTTGGTGCACTGCTCGCATTGGACTTGAACGATCGTCTGGGCCGCCTGCGCTCGTGGCGATTAGCTTGTTTGATTTGGGCGGCCGGTCTCTTCGTTCAGGTTTTCTCCTCTGGTATATATGGTCTAATTCTTGCGGCAAGGCTATGCAGTGGACTAGGGGCGGGAATACTCACAGTTAGCACGCCGTTGTATTTATCCGAAATTGGTATGGGTTGCGCAATCTGGACACAATTGGCTGAGACTAAATGCTGACACTCGGTTAGCTCCCGCAAAAACTAGGGGTTTGGTGGTCAGTATCTACATGGTTGTATTGTTGACTGTGTTGGCATTGGGTTGGTCATCATTTCCAAATGTTTGTGTGTCTAGAAAGCTGACCTTGTCAAAGGTTTCTTCATCAATTATGCCGCCAGTCTGCATATGGCCCCGACGCGGACTCAGTACCGTCTCGTGCAGTCCATTCCATTAATACCAGTCGGGATTGCGTTCTTTGCGTCCTTCATTGCACCCGAAACCCCTCGCTACTTGGTGTCAAGGCACCGGCATGACGAAGGACGATCCGTCCTGGCTCGTCTGCGCGGCAAAGGAGTCTCCGACCCAGCGATCGAAGATGAATTCAACAGCATCGATGCGCAAGTGCGGACCAAGGCGATGGATCTGGCGTCCGTAACCCACTGGGAAGCTTTCAAAGAGACCCAACTCAACCCCAACTACCGGCAGCGATTCTGGCTGCTGATCGCCATGCAAACCATCTCCCAGTGGACCGGCGGCAACGGCATCACCTACTACGTCGCCACCATCTTCCAGTACGCCGGAATCGACGGCAACGCGCGCTCACTCGTCTCCTCAGGCGCCTACGGGGTCGTCAAGCTGGTCTTCACGATGGCCTTCACCTGGGGACTGATCGACTACCTCGGCCGCCGGCGGTGCGCCCTCGCCGGCCTCAGCCTCCAGCTCGCCGCCCACATCTACATGGGCGCATATATGGGCCTGCAGCCGGGGTCGAGTACCAACCGCTCCGCCTCCGACGCCGCCATCGCCTCCGTCTTCGTCTACGCCGTCGGCTGGTCCATCGGCCTCTGCACCATCCCCTACCTCTACGGCACGGAGATCTTCCCCACCCGCATCCGCAACGTCAGCTACGCGATCAGCATGTCGCTGCACTGGTTCTTCCAGTTTGCTGTCGTCCGCGTCACACCGAACATGTTCGTCTCCCTCGATGTGTGGGGCGCCTACGTCTTCTGGGCGATCATTTGCTTCTCGGGCCTGATCATCTTGGGCATCTGGATGCCTGAGACGAAGGGTGTGCCCATTGAGCGGATGGGCGATCTCTTCGAGGGACCCTGGTACTTGCGCTGGCGAGCGAAGCCAAGACCGGTCAGTTCCTCTTTACCTTTTCCGGCTGGAATGGACGCGGGCGTTGCTCCTGGTGAGAAGAGGCCGGGCTGGGCGAATGAATCTGCCTGAGCTACTGGGAATGTATCTGTTTGAGCTACTATCCTCAAACGTTGAGTCCCTGTTCATGCTAGGGCTGGGGTGTATATATCATTTCATGTGCAATATTTCACTGTACATACATGCATGGCATCTGTTCATACAATTCTATCACTTCGAATGGACATACTATGACGAAAAGCAACAACTTCATGGATATCACAATAGACCAATGTCAATATCGAACGTACACGCATCCAAATAATGATCATCCTGGCCTGCCCCACGCCGACTCAAAAGCAGACGCCATGTTAGCCGTGATAGGCTCAGCGTATGAAAACGCTTCGAAGACCTCGGGCGTAATCTCGTACGAACCCTGGTTGTCCAGCGTCATCGCCGCATGGGGCATGCCGCCTAGAAGATGCGTTCCAGGTATGGGTTGCACGCCCGTCTGCGAGAGCTCGAAATCCCCGACGGGTTGCTGGAATGCGTAGCCCTGGTGCAGTAGGGGCGCGTTTGTGACGCGCGGTGCGGGGACGGAGGTTGGCATGGTAGGTGCTTGGCCGGCTGGGGAGACGTGACGGGAGCCGCTGCTTAAATTTAGAGCGGGCTGACCGGAGTGCTGGCTGGGGGATTGACTGTGAGTTCGGGAGTGTGTTTGCGAGGTGGGTTGTGAGGGTGGATGTTCGGGCTGCGGTGGTGGGAGGGTGATGTGGATGTCGATCCGGAACTTCTCCAGTTCTTGGTATATGAGGCCTAGAGCTGTGGTGACGACTGAAGACAGTCAGCATGGGCTTGTCGGTGTGGGAGGGCTGTGACGTACCAGGACTTGAAACCTTGACTCGCTCGAGTGCAAGGATGCAAAACTTGAGTTTATTGAGTGTACCCGGCGCGGCATATTTTAGGGCCTGAATCTCCAGCAGGAATATCGATGCAGCCGTGTACACGGAGTATGCTAATGAGAGTACGACATGCGCGTCGCCAAACGTTCGACGGTAGAGGTCGTATAGTGATAAAATGGCAGTCGCCGACGTCATGCATTGGACCAAGTGACTTTTATCGTATGCCTCTCGGTTTCTCTTGGAACAAAGGATAGGACGATGAAGGAGGATGTTGATCGTATGATACAAGCAGCTGTGGAGGAGCCCGTCAGATAAATAGTGCGATGGATTGTTACGGGGAAAAACTCACTTCAAGATCACGATATGACTTGGTGGCGAGTAGGGAGGTAGCTCTGTGACCACCAGCTTCAGATAGTCCGGCAGTTCATCCCACCATTCCGCCAGGTTCCTTGCTTGCTCCTGCACACAACTATGGAATTCTGCCTCGGACACTTGTCGAATAGGGTCGTAAATGTGGATCAAGATCTCGTTCAGGATCTCCGCCAGTCCACACATCCTCATGAAACATGACGTCGAATGAGCCTGCGTCGGCGGATAATGAGTGCCTTCCGGGAAAATGACTCCATGAGGAGTCCAGATCTCGATCTCAGACGTATCGTCCACTGCCAGAGTTTATGAGCAACAGAGCTACGCTAGACAGGGGAAGAAGACAACTCACATATTGTTCGCGGCGGACTGACGTGAGAGTTCTGCATGGTTGGCGACCTGCCAAAGTACAATGACACCATCTTATCCCAGAAATAACAGCTCCAGAAGAGTCGGTTTCGAATCTCAATGTCTTCATCGCTCAATTGAGCCGCATCCGGATACTTGCGACTATCAATGGAAATGCCGAGATCGTCCAACAATCGAAAGGCCATGCCGCTGTACAGCCATGCTTGTGTTCGATTTCCCCGGCCGCACTCTTGTGCACTGAGTATGAGTAACGTCTGGATGGTCGGAATGCCAGAATAGCCGACTTTTAACGAATCATACAACCCCGTGACCGCACGGTGGGAGAATTGAGCGCCACCATCGAAGGACTCCAGGATAGGGCCAATCTTGGGTTCAGACTTGCACCATCGTACCGAATGAGAGAGAATCGCATTGAGAAGGGTATCCGAGTAATAAGGACCGTTGATTTTCATATCGCCTAGAGATCGTAAGCACTTTTCGTTCTGACGATCGGACGATGTGGGCACGCACGGGTAAACGCAGGTCGGTAAACAAAGTTAAAAAGCGGCTGAATCCAGCACCAGTGCGAGTCAAGAAGATATTGGAATGGTTCCTGCCGCAATCCCATCATGAGCCTCTGTTCTCTCGTAGGACCAAGAGTCCACTTACCGGCATGGCAGCCAGCTGCTCAAATGCCCTCTCTCTCCAAGCATTGTTGATGAGCCTTTCCTTGCGTCCCTCCAGCTGCATGGCAAGATTGGAAGATGACGAGGACTCGCTCAGAATACCGCTCGGCAGCTGAAACAAGCTAGTAGGACCGTGGAAGGATATCCGGCCATCGTGCTCGATCCTGAGACCCTCAAAGTCCCCGGCCAGATTGGGCTCGTTTCCCTCTTCCTCTTTTATCCTTATCCGAGGCCGTGGACTCGAACTGGACTCTCCCGCCGACGACGGCGTGCCTGCTTTCCGAACCTCAGTCTCGGGCCGCGGCTGACCCCGCAGTTTGGCCAGAGCATCTTCCAGCTGTGCGACTCGAGCTTCTAATTGCTTGGTGTACGATAGCGTCGGAGCTCTACGGACGATTCAACGCGTCAGCAAGGGGACGGATCGACAGGAAGCTGCTGCAGGAACAGTCGGGGGCGCAGATCGGAGACGCACAAGCTATAAACGCACGCTTCCCCACGAGCTGCACAACGCGAACACGACGGACTCGCACCGTTGCATTTTACCTAAATAGCCAAGGCCGATGAGCGTCTGGTCTGATAGCCAAAAGTAAGGTCCAACCCCTTGAGGATATATGATATATCACCTTCGGAGTTCACCCGAGCGGACAGGGGCAAGAAACCCACCTTGCGCTTGCGGCAGGCCTCACACGAGAAGGCGCTTTTCCGCGTCAGATTCGTTTTCAACGGGACGTCGGCCATGCCCGATTTACTTGGTTCGACTACCATGAAATCAACGAGGGGCGCGCATCAGTATGATCGCTGAAGATCGAACAAAGAGCGCGGAACCCTCCATGAGAAGAATTCGACTTAAACCACAAGAGGCGAAAAGACGAAAACGAAAACAGGAGAGAAGAAAAGGATGTAGTGGCAGTGGGGGGGTGGGAGGACTGGAGTTGTCGGCGAGTGAGAAGAGGGGATGAGGGGGGCAAAAGCTACTGCAACTCGGGAAGTTTCGCAGGCTGGCTTGCTTGCTTGTCTTCTAGATTATTAGCTTGAAGAATAATAAAAAAGGAGGAATAATGTCGTTGGTGGCTGGGCGTTGGAACATGGGCCCCGAAGGTCAAATCGATGAGCGATTTATCAAGTGGATCAGAAAGGAAAAAGCATAAAAGCTTCTCTGCGAGACTGTCAAATAACGGCATGCCGCGATGAGGCCCAAGCCGGACTCTATCGGTGATACTCCGGAGTAATTCTCCGGAGCAAGTGCGCAAATTGGCAAATGAAGCTGCCAGTCCCCATTCCGGGCATTTTAAACGACATGTCTGTACGGAGAACGATGGCCATCTCATTCGGAGTGTTTTATTATGAAACTCACAACGATAGTCATCCATGCTATTCTTCCAGCCAACTCTGAAACTGATAGAAGAAGAAGCTGGAAGTGAGAGCCGAAAGCCCTAACATGCAGAATGGTGGCTCCATAGAGGTTCAGCAAAGTTAGCATCCCGAAGCCGGAGGACGGAGTGGATACTCGATTGGGAATAGCTGTGGAGAACAGACTCGACTAGTGCTCCAGATAATGGACCTTGAGGTTTGTTGGGAATATGATACAGGATAGCCTAGATACGTGGACTAGACTAGTAGCCAACATTATAGTACAAGCATGGGATATAGGATACATCAGACAAATCGCTTCTCCAGCTGCATCAACAGATCATGGACCTCATCGACCTTCAGCTTGACTGCCCGTGGGTTCTGAAGAGCGTTCTGCCCCAACCTTGTCTCGAGCACTTCCTTCAATTTCTGTCCATTTGCATCCGTTTTGGTCTGCATTTGACCTGTCACATCGACCGTGATACTCGAGTCCGCCACATCTTTAGGCCCGAGGATAAAAATCAAATTGTACTTCATCTGTTTCGCCCTTTGAATCTTCTTCCCGAGTGTCTGGCTGCTGGTGTCGACATCGATCAGGTATGTGGAATCGACGGATGAAAGAGGCTTCGGAGAGGTTGCATTGTCCTTGCCAGCAACAAGCGGACGGAAGCCCGAGATCTTTGCAGCAGCGTCTTGTGCCTGTTTCAGCACCGCCTCATCCTGGTTGACCGTCAGTATGATACCCTGGCGCGGGGAGAGCCAGAACGGCCAGCGACCGGCATATTGCTCGATGAGCAGGGCAAGGAAGCGTTCCAGCGACCCAAAATTGGCCCGGTGAACCAGCACGGGCGTCGCTCTTCCTGGAGTCGCCGGGTTGTAGTCCTCTTCGCCCTCCGCAACTTGGTACTCCAATCCGAACCGTTGCGGCAGATTCATATCCAGCTGGATCGTGGATAATTGGTGATATTTCCCTGCTTGATCTTGCAGTTGAATGTCGATCTTCGGCCCGTAGAAAGCGCCATCACCCTCGTTCATGGCCCATTCCCTCCCACTGTTGTCCAAGGCTTCCCGCAGCTGAGCCTCCGCGCTGTCCCACAGTTCCAGGCTCCCGATAAAGTCCTTCTCCGGCCTAGTAGAGAGTACGAGACGGTATGGTCCCAGACCAAACGTTGTCATCACCATATCGACAAACCCCAGCGCGGACGCGATCTCCCCCTTGATCTGCTGCGGTCGGCAAAAGATATGCCCATCGTCCTGGTGGAATCGTCGGACACGGGTAAGCCCGCTCAGGGCCCCCGAGATTTCGTTACGGTGGAGAGGGCTGAAATCGGCGTAACGGATGGGCAGTTCGCGATATGAGTGGTTCTGCGACTTGAAAAGGAGGCAGTGGCCGGGGCAGTTCATCGGCTTCAGGCCGTACGATTCGTCCTCGCCAGTTTCTCCGTCGGCTTCCCCTGTAGCTCCTCGACCTTTGACCTCATACATGTCATCTTTGTAATTTTGCCAATGGCCCGAAACCTCCCATAGAGAACGCTTGTAAATTGTCGGCGTCAGAACTTCGCGGAACCCGTATTGAAGGTACTGTGTGCGGAGAAACGAGATCAGTCGGTTGATGACGTGGGTGCCGTTGGGTAGAAAAAGAGGCGATCCAGGACTGTAGATGGAGGTTGTGAAGAGATCTTGAGCGGTTCCTAGAGCTCGATAATCCGTATTTGACGCGGTGGATGCTGGGGAAGGGGAGTGTTCAGCCTGCGCTTCGGAGCACGAACAGGATCGACATGATGTCGTGGACAGCCATTGCCGTCTCGTGGTCGGCGCTGAAAAAGATTTCACGTTATGGTTGAAGGCCGGTCGTCTCGAGAACGAGCGCTGCCAGGAGAGAATGGATAATCGACGCATGGCTGGTTGACTCATGGCAAGGAATTTTTTCTTCCGCGACACGACGCGAGGTCCAGCTGAAACGGCCCGATTGGGAAGTCCACGAATGGCATGTGCGCTTCCCCACTATAACAACAGTTCCGATCGACACAAGCGCATTCCTTCGCAATGGCATAAATCGATGTCTCTTATTGCAAGAACGTCAAAATAGATATATCTGTCGGTCGATATTACAGCTTTTTTCAATACTCATCATTTGGCGCACTGCAGTCATAGTTTGACTGTTGACTGCGACGTCGAAGAGTGGAAACATATACAGATACAGCGAATATAAGCGCAAATAACTTAACATGTCTCCGGGCTCAGCTCGTACAGCAGAAAGCTGTGTACTGGGAGAGTCCTGGGTTGTGGCATCAACCTCATCCTTGCAGCAGAAGCACCTACCTGAAAAATCAGATCGAAAGGGACAGCCAAATCAAGAAGACGAGCTCAAGGGATGCCAATCGATGACAACGTCTGCTTCTTCAATATCAGGCCCTGAGCTTATCATGCCGTCAATATGCGAGGTACCTATCTCAGAAGCCTCCTGGGTAGCGCCGGAGTTGCGCTCTCGCACGCTGTCGGCGCATACAGTCAAACGAAGGCACAAGCGATTATCTGATCGGTCAGGGAAGAAGCAAGAGTCTGAAGTGTCGAGTCAGGAAGGCTCTACAACGGCAGCGCGCAGACTACAGGGAGAGATCGTGTTCACCAGCTCTGGAACGACATTTAGTTCTGCGCGCATAGAAAGATACATCAGACCATTGATCAACCTCCTCCTCATGACGGCAATCTCCCACCTTCTCATTTTACCTGAGCTCGTCCACCAATATCAAACCCTCTGCAGCATCGAGACAGTAGCAGCCCTCTACCCGGCAAGCTGCGTCCCACCTTACCCACAACCACCATCTGCAAACCCCCAAATGCAGTCCCACCCCAACTCCATCCTAACCTCCCAATCTCGCCTCGAAACCCTCTTCAACACAACCCTCACCCAAATGTCCATCTTGCAACCCACCCTACAACAAACAGAGTCCCTCCTCCGCGATCTCCACACGAATCTCAAAAAGGCCTACCCGGCCACCAAACACGAACTCGACCTCGAATTCGCCGGCTGCACCCAAGCCGCCCGCACTGCGACGGGCAAGTTCGCCTCCCTGAAAGCAGACATCAACTCCGCAATGGACAGCCTCCTCGCAACCGCAGCCACCGACGACACCGCCGGCCGAGGACGTAGCGGCTCTGTCGCACAAGACGCCAGGCTCTCGACCCAAGTCGCCCGCCGCGAAGCGTACCTCGACCAGCTGACGGCGCGCATGCAGTCCAAGGCCGAGGAGCTGTGCGGGGACTTTGCCACGCTGGACGACCATCTCGAGTCTATCCAGGAGATTGTGCAGAGGGAGATGCGCGCCCCTTCCTCGTTTGACTTGGAGACAGCCGCGGGGAACGGGCCTAGCAACGACAACGGCAAGGGTATTTGGGCGTTCATCGAGACGGTCGTGCCATTCACCGGCAGGAGATCTCCAGCGCATAGTGAGGAGGAGATCTCGGAGTCCAATATGCGTGGGAACACGAATCTATCTGACTCGCTTCGGCAGGCGACGGATCACCATCGGCCTGTGGCTGATTTGATTCGGAGATTATATACCGATCTACAGAACCTGCAGAGGAAGAAAGGGAATTTGGTTTAAGAATAGCATAGCATAGCATTAGCACGAGCACCTAACGTTCGAGACGGGTATATGAATAAGATTTCCTATCTGCACGATTACAAGACAGTAGACAAGCTACGCTTACACCCATTACTGATACGATTGACGATCGATAATTATATCTCAGTTAAGAAACCTACGACGCAGGCGTCTCCCACCTCGCAAGTCAGAGAACGAAAGAAACTCCCCAGAAAGGTAGCGTAGTTCATTAAATATGTAGCATGTTGTATGTACGGGGTATAAGGAATAGGTATGGGCATAGAAATGAGATCAAATACAAGAACGATGGAGAATCTGACTCCAACGTTGGCGAAACCCCGATTCCAATATTTGTACTTGTGACGTCTTCCCCTCATTATGTGTATCGTGCATTAAACCAAAAAGTCATTTTGTTTAGAATGCCAACACGGCAGCGACCGCGCCGAACACCAGAGCGCAGGCTGTGACCGAGCCCTTGATGGAACCGGCGGCGCCCTTGGAGAGCTCTGGAGTGACGGAGGCTCCGGCGCTAGTGGAAGAGCCAGAGCCAGAGCCAGAGCTAGAGCCAGAGCCAGAGCCGGTGCTGCTGCTGCTGCCGCCAGTGGTGGTGGATCCCGAGCCAGTAGAAGAGCTGGAGCTCGAGTTAGAGCCAGAGGTGGTTCCCGAAGGGGTGGGAGTAGCCTTGGTGGAAGTGGCCAGAGTGGAGGTGGAAGGGCTCTTGGTCGAGGTAGAGCTGGCGGTGCGGGTGGTGGAGGTCACGGAAGAGCTAGGAGAGGTATCGACGGCGCCGTCGAACTTGATGCTCTGCCAAGAGCCAGTGTTGTCGGAGTAGGTGTAGGACTCGGCGGGGTTGGCGTTCTCGATGCGGACGGACTTGACGTACATGGTGTACGGTCCCGCGCCGTAGTCGGTCAAGCCACCGGCCCACTCGATGGTACCCTTGGGGTTGCTGGGGTCGCCGCCAGCCCAGGTGCCGAGTCTCAGGCGCATAGGAGTCTGAGGGAAGCGAGCGCCACCCTTGGCATCGTTGTACGTGAGCGTACGCACGACGGCGCCGTTGATAGACCAGGTCACCGCATCCTTGGTCCAGTCGATGGTGTAGGTGTGGAAAGTCTCCTGAGGACCGGCAAGGGGCACATAGGTGCCTCGGTCATAGGTTGTGGTATCTCCTTTACCAAAGTAATTTGTCTGGACCTGAGTGGTATCACCGCCCAATACTTCCTGCGGTTTCGTTAGTCCGGTCCAAGATGACAATAGGGTGAACAAGCAGGGCTTACCCAGTCAATCTCATCCAGATCATCCGACTCCAGAACGATGCTGCTCACAACGCCTGTACCAGGAGCGGCCTTCATCACCACTTCGGCCTTTCCGAAGAAGAAGTAGAAGTCGGTATCAATGGTAGGCGAGTCACCCTTCTTAGCGACAGAGAACTCGGCGCCCTGTGGGCCAACGGGAACTTTGCCTGCAGTGACTTTCCATTGATCCAAAGCAGAAGATGAGGTGAAGTCGGCAGTGTAACTGGATGCGGCAAGACCCTTGTTGGACGGGCAGGTCTCTGCAAAACAATCGTTAGATAGGTTGTTACATATCATATGCAGGTATGAAAAGACTCACTCTCAAGGGGATTGCACTTTGACCACGTCTGTGCAGAGCAAAGAGGGAGCACCGCAGTCAGGGCTGCTGCTGCGTACTTGAAATACATGTTTGCGTTATGCAGGGTAAACGAGCGCTGTGTCAGGAAGAGAAATATGTAGCAGATGATGATATGTCAAGACTTTAGAAAGTAACGACTGTAAGTGAAATGATATAAGACTTCAGAAAACGACAGGAAGCTCTTGCACAGAGAACAAAGGTATGAGATGATTACGTTGATAGAAGGACGGGGGAATTGACCGCAGTAAATAGTCGCCCGGTCCCTGTCGATTAAAGGGGAGGCAGCCGTGAGCTAGTCTGGTTTACTTGGGGAGGCTGAGTATGCGCCGTGGATTGATCGAAACTCAGAGTCATAAGGCCGAGGACTATAGTTAGTAGCGTGGTCGCAACGGAGCCATGGTATTATTAGTCGAGTTTTACCCTGCCACCGTGTCGAGAATCGCTTCTGATTGGGAGCGCAGGATCTTAGCATCGTCCCCTGGTTGATGACCCAGCGCGCCGTCTCAGACTCGAGGGGTCTAAGGTAGGAACTGAGTGCTCAGAGGTCAGCGTGCATTACGGATGACTGTGGTCAGACACGGTGATTGATCGGACGATGGAGGGGCCAGCCGACCCTTCGATCCGGTGGATCACAAAACTGGAGAAGGACCCATCCTGCACAGTATCAGCCCATGATGATAGGCGAAGATGACCTCAGCCATGGTCTTTTTTTGCCATGAGCGGTAAGACTTGTGACTGGAGTGAGTGTGGATGTGCCCAAATTCGGCCGGAAGAAATCTAGAAACGCAAGAATTTGTGTTGTGTCTGACGGAGTGACCGACCGGGGGCAAGTTCACTTGGCCCACAGTAAGATGCAACTGTAAGCGAGCAGCGCAGTAGCGAGTTACCTATTCGGTAATGGGGTAAAGAATTGTTTGAGCCGCGATGCGATATCTCAGACCGCAGATAGGCACCAGAACGCTAGGATATTCGCCTAGTCCGGGTGTGGTTTGGCTCAGGTGAATCAGGGCCCCCGGTTGCATCCACACACGAACTTGTGTTGCTGTCGGAAAAAGTAAAAATCTCCTGGTCTAGGCAGACTATGGACTAGTTTCTAGCTAGTAGTCTCTACTAAAATAATCATATTGTCCTAGTGACTCGCAGCTGCAGTGGAGGGTAGTATCGTCTACTCCGAAGATAGTTTACTACTAACTAGATAACCATTAGCTATTAGTTAGTATGTCTCTGCCAGAGATAATTTTAGTCGGTCAGACCTGAAAAATTTTCATCACCATGATTCAGTTGCCACAGATGATGATATTCCAAGTTGGATCGTAAAATGTCGTAGGATTCAGTGTCAGATTAACTCATGGAGAAGGAATCGACAGACGATCGGTTGATCTCTCATCATCATGATCGAAGAGAATGCGCAATCCGAAGACAGCGAATTTCCGAATTCGCCAGTCCCGAGCCACGGAATGATCAAGATGTGGGTTGCCATGTGGAGAAACGTTGAGCACAATTTTCAGGCCTCAAGATAACTAGGCACCTAATTTGATCCATTCAGGTCATTCGGCGCAATAATACGACAGCCCTCTCCACTATCTACTATCTACATACTGCTGTAGTGATATACAAAAGCTTGCTTGACAAATAATACATTCCAGGACGTCAAAATGTTTCACTGTTGAGAAGGTCGTAAATAATAGGGCAGCAATAGTAATAAAATAATAACCATGATGGGAAATTGCAAAGTACCATCCCAAGCCCCCAGGAAATGAAAGGCGGTACTATGTTGTATCTATGTGGTCATTGTGAGGCTGGGCGGATAGATTAAGGGGAATTTCAATCTGGGATCGACCGTCTTACTGGAGGGAGATATTGGTCACTTTGTCATTCGGATAGGTACCTGTAGCTCCAGTCTGAAACATCAGCAGGGGTCTATCACCGTGGCCCTATCCCCCGGAAGCTGAGAACCAGTCAAAACGCTCCTGTGATCCTTGGTAAGAGCAAGCCCAGACATACGTAAAACTTACAAACGGCGGCCAAGACATACGAGTCAAAATAGAATTACCTGACGTTAAAGGAAGACGTTGAGAGAGCGACCCAAAAAAGAAGCCGTCTTGAGACGGAATCGAACCACCAGCCTCGAGGAGATGTACAATTCGTAAAACTGAGACCACGCCTCACCCTCACGTGACTTTGTGGCTGGTGGGCCTGGTCGCAGCCACACTCACGCCGCCATTCTTGTTGGATCAACAAACAAGAACAAACAAGCCAGTCAGTTGCCTCGGTTGCCTTAGTAATGCAGAAGTTTAGTCAGCTGATCGAATCACAAGGCCAAACGCTCCAGTCTGATTTGTTGGGAAATGAATGTATTGAGACGGAGGATGCACTCCGCAATGTTGTTGGGTTGATCATCACCGCCACGTTGAATCTATCCCTATCTCCATAACCCCTCCTTCTCTTCCTCTATCTTCCTCTTCTTCTTCCTCTTCGTCCTCAAATAACTTGAACTTCAGATACTCTGTCTATACACTTCAAATCCAGAAATGGCCCACAAGTCTACAAGATCGTCCACACGCAGAAACGCTTCCTCGGTCTCCTCACTCACTAGTATGGATATGGATGTGGATCGCAAGGTCTACATTCCACTGTGCTTCTGTCTGATGTCGTTTGCGGTTATGGTCTATGTCAACTGATTGACCCAAACACATTCGAAGACAACACTTAAAGATCGTCTCAACGCTGCGTCGAATACCTATCGACGACCCTCAACGGTCGGCGACGTCATCCCCGTACTCGTATCGGCACCACTCTATGATACCGATTGCCTACTCCGTAATCTGCAAGACGATAACACCCACATCCACATCCACATCCAACGTCCCACCCTACCGTACTCTTCGCCAGCAAAGTCTGCGCAACTATCGTATACAACCGTATGCGCGTCTGACGCAACAAGGTCAAGATAAGGTTCCGAGATGGACTCGGCACCTGTGCTCAGTACCTTCAACTCCATCACATATATCCCCACCTCGAGATTCTACCGGACGATTTCGGCCAGTCGAGCGCGAGCCCGAGTCTAAAGTGCATCGGTTGATTGCACATAGAGAATGATGGGGTCAAGGAGAGAGCCTGCTGCCATCCAACAGTGCAAGGCCAGCAATTATACCTTGGACAGCAGAGCCAGATCTGCACATATAATCAGTGACAGGGAAACACACGCAGCTTCGGGATAGCGACAGAGACTCCTGAAGCCCCGATGAGCACTGAGCTAGAAGACAGCTCAGTATCCAATACATAGGCCGCGGGACAACCCAGCGGCACAACATTGATACGAATCCCTGACAGGCCTCAGGGCCGTCGAGCACCAGTCACATGTCTGCAGGACAACGTCCGCACCTTCTTTCCTTTATATATATTTCTTTCCTTTGTTGCACAGTCTGGCTTCTGGGCTTTGGTTGCTTTTCAAGACCTGAATATTAGGCCTGAGCATATATTTCAGCAATCAATTAGTTAAGAACATACCACATTAGCGTCTCCTTGTTATATTCATCTCACAATTCAACTTCGGTTCTCCTTTCTCTTTCTGCTGTAATCATACCTTCAGCGCACCACTAATTTTTTTAGAGGACAATGAAGCTTGCTAGAGCTCACATTTTTAAAGAATGGACCCCTGTCTAAACTATTTCCTGTCCAGAACGCCTTAGATATGAGTTCAGAATCTTCTCTATTGCATGCATCTGAGGTATATCATGACAGTAGACCCCAAGCCAGGGACACACTTTTCTGCTGGCATTATCCTTCGTCTTGGCCATGCCTCGCGCTTATCTCCTTACGCTCAGAATCAGATACTTCTATGGCTAGGCCATTGTTGCCTTCAGACCTCAGCCCATGTACACACCTGACACTTTTCACCAGTTGTCAGTCTTTCCTTTTCGGGCCCTCTCTGAAATCACATATACCACTCATTACTAAGGGCAAACCAGCAGCAGACCCTTATGGCGTGAAAATAAAGGCAAACTTACAGTGCTATAATTAGTTTTACAAACTATATGCATTGCCTGGCTGCCTTTTCACACAGTCTGGTACTACAGCCGCCTGATATGTTTCCCACGCCACCAAGGCAGCCATGCAATGGGGAAATGACCATTCCAGTTGCAGATTGGGGTAGCTGCACCACGGTCTGGGGGGGGGCATCTCCTGCTAGCTTCAGACTACTTTGACGCAGTCAATCGCGACCGATATTTTGTGTAGAAGTCTTCCATGAAATAGCTGCTAAGATAAACAAAGCCCCAGTGTCACACACTTTTCGTATACCTTGAGCAGTGTGGACGAATTGCCTCGTTGAGTGGGAAAGAGAAGGTTCGGTAGAAATGCAGGAACTCCTGACGGAATGATAGGAGGCATCAAGGAGACCCGATCTACAAAAGGACCGCTACTTGCAAAGAGGCAAGAATAAGGTATGAATCTAAGAGTCGGAGTATCGAATAATAATAGGTCTGGTAGATTGATTATTCGCCCATTGATCGGAATACTAGTGAACAAGAACCAGAGCGTGCTCTGTTTGGAGTTCTGGAGTTCGACGTGACGGTTACAACATGATAGCCTCTAGCGTCTGGGTCCCGGCTCCCCGGGTATGCTGTACACTCCCCAATTGCTATTTGATAAGTAGCTGTCAGGCAGTTGGAGTTTAGAGCACATTTTTGCATGCAGCCTCTGAAGTCCTCTGCTTTTCCCAATGAGAACCAGTTTGTAATAAAGTTCGTAAAGGCTATCTTGCATGTTAGAAAACGCTCTTCTTCCATCTTGAGTGTAAGACTTACTTTTAGCTATCCATATCCTAAAGCGTAGACCATGGGCAGACCAAAAGTGCGGAGCAACCGTACAAGAGGAGCCACAGTAAATACAGATCAATTGAACTAAGTACTCAATACTCTACTGCGCCCAAGTCCGCAGACACAAGTAGCGGTAATCCCATCCTGTGCGTGACCCAAAGGTGCGCAGTGTAACCAAGTCCAGAGACAGCTGCATATTGCTTTTGGGCTGTATGGTGACCCAGAGCTTCTTTTTCATGTGCTGTGCCATAATCCCACTGACTGTGGCTGGCTGACACGAGACAGGAAAACGGTATATGCAAAGAGTGAAGGTAAGAAAACAGAAGAGTATCCTGCAAGTCTCTAGAACATCATGCAGCATAGCATCCTATGGCCTGTCAAGCACAGGCTGTTGGGGTGATTTGCAGGTCAAGCTTCATCCTACTATGACACAAGGGTGTGCGCTTCGCTAGCCTCTTATATCAGCTAACAGCATTGCCAGAATAGGAGAGGCATGGGCCCAGGGAATACGGTATGATTGATTAGGATATCATGAACGCAATCTCTTGTTCCATCTTCATTTCTCTACTTAAAGAGTGATATACTGATTCTGTGAGAAAGCTTACCGATAAAGTTTGCTCTGGCACTGTTGTTGGCTAGTGCAGCCCTAAGGCAGCTTCGCAGCTTCCCAGCAGGTGTCTTACCAGACAGAAAAAGCAAATCGGAAGCAATTTCAGACCAATCAGATTCTAATCAGCGAGTTGAATTGCAACATGGCATATTTCTCATGATCTAATTACTCAAACGGAACTCCGTAAATCCCTTACTGGATTCGGTTACCTGGTTGACAGATTTGACTTTAAATAACGATGAAACAGCCAGCGGCCAAAAATGGCTACACTTGATGCTGTTTTGCGAGTCCTACTAACCCTATCGTAAGTGGCTCTGCACAGGGCTGACGGAAGGCTGAGTTGACGCAGCAGGAGACAAAGCAGAAGCCTTGTTTCTAATATTTGAAATGAATAATAGATTATATACTAGTAAAACAAAGGTCGTTCAAACCGCTTCAGAGATTCTACTAGTTTTGTAATTTTTGTAACGATATCACCGTCTCAGTAATGCTCGTGGACAGGGTTCGATATGTCAAGCCAAGCTTCTCGGTTGCTTGGGAGTTGTCAAACTTGTAAAGTCCTCCCGGGGGATACCCACCGCCGCCCGTGTTTTGTTCTGGGAGTTGCGGTCTGTACTCCGAGAAGGATTCTCGGATGACTTCACAGATCTCCTTGTTTGAGAAGTAACCAGCAGTCAATAAGAATCTTTTATTCGCGACTCCTGGAGCTTCCATGGCTCTTATATGGGCTAAGGCGGCGTCACGGACATCTATCCAGAGGAAGAACGATGTTCCTGTGTCAGGGATTTCAGCTTTATATTCGCCCACCATAAAATTTCGGATCCGCTGGTTCGACGTGTTGAGTTCGTCGAGGTTGCGCAGTGGGTGTATCACTGGGCCAAACATCAATGTTGGACATAACGTAACCAGAGAGAAAGGTGGGTTCTCTCTCTCAAGAAACTCCCAACATGCTCGCTCGGCAAAAGTCTTGCTTGCTAGATTGGAGCTTTTAGTTCAAATATAGGAACATCAGTCGGACGAGCAGGTGAATTCTAACCTCTGTATCCGTTGAGAGGATTTAAATGAGCGTCCGAAAGCGTAATTGGGTTCCAATCTTCCTCGGAATAAATATGATCGACCCAACTGTTCCCCTTATAGCTGTTGATGATCGATGCGAAAGAAGATGTTACGATCTGTAATTGCTTAAAATCAACCTCGGGAGCTGAAGCCAAGTAAAAGTCTCTTTCATTTGACTACGATGTGGGAAGCGTACCACTTTCTTAACCGATGGTGCACTTTTCCGAACTGCTTCCAGCAAGGCAATAGTCCCACTGATTGCAGGATCCAAGAGTTCTCGCTGAATATCGGCTACCGAGTAGCGAAAGGGAGACGCAGTATGGATGACCACATCGAAGGGCGCGTCGGATTTGAAACATTCATCAAAAGCACCAGCGCTCGTAAAGTCAGGAACGATGATAACTCGTAGCTGAGTGGTAGATGCATGTAGACGGTGGCATTCACGGATCTGCTCAGCCTTCTCGTGACTGCGGACAGTGGTTACGACTGAATATCTAGGAACACATAAGTATCATGGGTAAAGCTGGGGGACGGAAGCTGATAGCGTATCGCATTACCCTCGATCCAAGAGGAGACTAAGAACGTGGCTTCCAAGGAATCCATTACCGCCTGTTAGTGCTGTCAGTTGAAGCTAGGCTCTCGTAGATTTTCACTATTGAAGTGGAATACGAACCAGTGAGGAGGACTCGAGCCATGCTTCCTTCTCTTTCCTATCTTTGGTTCCGTTGCTTTTAGAGCACTTATGCTTTTAGAGAAATCGAGATCAATTCAGCACAGTAGGGCGATGGAGAGAAATGGATGGGAAATGAGGACTAGGACCAGGTGTTTATATCTTCTTGTCTCCCCAAATCCGGTTAGACGAGGACAATTTGGCAATTCCAACACGAGCAATGTTCTAGATGTGGCCAATTAACTTTCGTCAAAGCCAGGTAGGGCCATACCTAGTATCAACGATACGATCAAGCGGACTAGGGACACGCAAAACCCTCTTCGACAATTTTAAGACCAAGCGACAGATCAAGGGTCTGAGTCACATTGATATACCCGGCGCGAACCGATCAATTCCGACTAAAGAGTCTAAAGAAGATATGGGTAAAGAGAGACCGTTCGTAGAGGAAGATGGGAAAAGATTCAGTTGCAAGCCACCAACCATGGGTATGCAGCCAAACTGGGCACAGTGAAAGCAGAAGGGTAGCAAACGTGAGCCAATGCAGTGCTGGCTCAAGTATTTAGAAGAAGAATGGCAATAATATTGGTTACAGTGTGGCGCACTCACAGCAAAACAGCGTGGCTGGGCAGAAAGGCACACATCACCTGCGAACAGAGTCCTCATAACGGTGCTCCCCGTACTCCCCTCGAGCTCAGCTCGGTAGAAACCCCAAACCGTCCCGTGCCCGTCCATTCCACCTCAACACTAGTCAGCTCCTTTAGATCAAATTCCCCGGGGTTTAAGATCTTGATCGTCCATTGTGTGAACGGCGTCGACTCCGCATACTTCTGCGTCTCGTAGGCAGCATGAATAACCGTCTTGCCCTGATCGCTGGAACCCGAGACCTCGTACGAGAATACCCTGCTCTGCGGCAGACTGGTAATGTATAAGACATCGCCGCCGTGGCCCGTGGCCATCTGCATAGACACGGGAGGTGGTTATCTGAATGTCCATTCGCGCAGATCCATCCAGGACAGCCTCCGGCCGGGGGCACGACCCCTCTCAGAACGACCTCAACCCCTGAAGATGGAAACGAGAACCCGTCTTTGAATACACCGGTAAGACCGTCGGTGTAGCCCGGATTTTGGGGCTGAATCCGCGACGAGGTGCAAGTGTGAAGCTCGCGCTTCTAGTCTCTCTTTTCAGAGCGGCTATTATAATATCGATATCAGCGGCAGAAGCTACGTCAAGATTAGAGTAGCCGCAAGTTCAGGTGGTACTTACGATCCCTGCGGGTCCAACTACACGTGCGCAATCTTGGTGCGCCGGTGCAACTTGGGAGAGGAATGCTGACATAGTAACAGGATTCGAGGGAGCCTTTCCTGGAGTACGCAAGTCGTCGTTCAAGCTGGACGTAGAGGGCTGGAGATATTGCTTAATCTGAAGGACGACACGTTCAATATTAAATCTGAGGTCGTCAGTTTAGTTATTGAAAGAGCCCCGGCTGCCACTGCGGACGATGTCGACAACTGGAGTCAAGTAAGATTGACTATAAATTCTAGTTGTAGGTATGGTTATTTCACGCCACATTGAACGATAATTCCATTTCCGCATATTGCTATGTGAGTATCGGTACAGAATGAATGCGATTTCCTGCAAACCCCCCGGAAGATCTGCTTGTAGGTCGTAACCTAGTAACCTAATACCCTAATACTAGAGGCATTGAGCATTGGAACCCTCATTCTATAGAATAGATTTCGCCTAGCTGTGAGTATGTCCTATAAAAGCTATCTGGGGAAAGGGTCTCATATAAAGCATGCTGGCCAAGTTTAAAATCTTGTGGGATGAGTGAAACATTATATCCGCCATGACAGCAGCCGTACCCGAATGCTCCCTGCTTAATAAAAATGGCGTAAAATTACGTTATTGCAGAGGAACTAACTAGCCTTAAAAAGAGAAGAATTATCATACGCTATAATATATCTATCATACGTAGTCCTATTCCTCTTCCAGCGCCATCATTGTAACCATATCGGCTAATAAGGTGTCATTCTGGGTTGAGAGGAATATTAGTACTCTATTGAAAGGGGGAGAGCAGATCTTGATCCACCTGAGAGGACCTTCCATGTGATGAAAGTCAACCTCTCTGTTATAGATCGGACCCATTGGGGTTTGGTATAATGGCCCTGGTCTAGTTGGTAGAGAGCTGCACTGGACACCTCTCAATTACAGCTCCTGTCAAAAACTCCATTCATTTCCTTAACGGCTTAGAAGATAAATGCAGAAGCATGAGATGCGCTTTCGCATTTTAGATGATTGATTTTGCCTGCCGTGGGGAACTTAGGTAGATGCCCCCCTTAAAAACAACCTACACATCAAGGGAGGTTTCTCCCAGATGGTGTAAGCTCTCTGGTCCACCCAAGACAAACTCTCTTCGCAAAGCTCCAGGTCAAAGTTCCACAACAGACGAGCAAGGATAAGCCGCATTTCAGCAAATGCCAGATTCCTCCCGATACAGTTGCGCGGCCCTACAGAAAATGGCTGGACGACCTCACGTTTATCGCAAAAGAAGGGCGAGGTTGGGTCGGATTTCACTTCCGGCAACCATCGCTCAGGGAGGAAGCGGTCAGGTGCGTAGAAGTTAAGGGATGACCAGGATGCGCCCATTGGGTGGACGGACACTTTTGTCTACAATTTGAGTTAGCCCTAAACGCTACGGGATCAAAGATCTCAAGTCCTAGGATTTCACCTACGCCAGATGGAACGTCATAACCAGCGATAGTCATGGAGTCGAGAGTCATGCGTTGCAGCCCTGTCGGGACCGGAGGGTACAGTCGGAAGGACTCTTGGATACAGGCTAACATGTAGGGAAGTTTGGCACCCGCAGAGTTGCAAGTGATATCAGTCTCAGTCTTCATCGTGGTGCGCACCTCGGTTACTACTTTTGCGAGGGTATCAGGGTTCCGCAGTAGGAAGTAAATCGTGCCAGCGAGTAGAGTGGCGGTTGTCTCGCTGCCGGCAATGATGAGGATATTTGCATTAGCCACCATCTCTTCCTCGGTCAAGCCGTCATCTTTGCCGCGGTTACGGGACATGGAGTCCATGAAGTCACCGCGGTTATATGCAGATGAGTTATGGAGCCTTTTCTTTACTGCTTCCCTAGCGTGTGCAATCTGCTCTTTCTGTGCCTCCAGGAGTCTTTTGGGAACGAAGAGGGATACCAAGTTGAAGACTGTCGGGTAGGTGTCTTTCATTTTGACAAACGGGAAGAGTTTGACTGACTCGAAGATTGTCGCCACCCAATGGTGATACTGTGTGCTTTCGAGACCATAAAAGGGCTCCCCAAAGGCGAGATCCCCGATAATGTCAAACGTAATCAAGTTGAACCACTTGGCCATGTCCGCTGGCAATTGAGACTTGGCAACCTCTTTCAACTGGGCAATAAGCTTGTCAACGTAGGTATTAATAAAAGGCTCCTGAGCTTGCAGCCCTCTAGCGGAAAAGGCGTGAGATAAAGATTTGCGAAACCGAGTATGATCGGCGTCATTGGAGCTGACTATGTCCATTGGGTTGCTGGCCGAGATCAACACTTTGGGCAACTGACGGTGCCCATGTCCATATATATCGTTCCAGGCTTCTGGAGTGATGAAAGAGACTTCGTCACGCCCGAAGCGCACTGCAGGGCCATACACAGCATGGAAGCGGGGAATGTCGAGATCCAACCTGCCCCGAACTGCGGAGATGTGTCGTAGAACTGGAAAGATAATCCATAATCTAGGCCCGGGAATACGTCGTAAAGGATGAAAGTATAGTGAGTGTATGATGTTGAGACAGTAGTGAAGAAGAAAGAGGGCAAACCCCGCTTGTACGGCCAGAGAATACATGTTGACCCGTGGTGATAGTAGGTCGCAGTGGAAGGATTGCAGAGTTAAGGGAATGTGAGATAAATCAGGACAAGATACTGCCGCCTGCCCAAATATTTAACTGTCTTATGTCACCTATTGCCCTAGGAGTCTAGGTACGTACCTCGTACCTTAGTAGCTCCGGTGTACATCTGAGCCCGGTTAGAGTAGCCTTACCGTAGATTGTAAACCATCCCCCCACATTCCTTGTGGAAGGCACCATGGCAAGTTAAAGGATGGGTGCTCGCAGTAAGCAAATAGGGCAAGGTGAGGCTGGCTGGGCCAGTCCCGAGGCCCCCGATAATGCAATCTTGAAGTCGGTTGTGGGAGACATGACCATGGACGATATGAGCGCTTTCTAAGCGGCAGTCGATCCCTCATCTGATCCGAGCCGGACGTCCGGGGCAGTCGACTGCAATTCCATGACGTGATGGCGAGTCGTGTAAAGTAGGTTGGGCTCTCCGCGGGAATGTAAGGGATGTTAGGGACGTAAGGGACGTTCGGATGTAATGGTTCTGATTTCATGTCAAAAGAGAGAAACTTAGGGTTCACCAGGTATAGGCTTATAGCAAGGGGTTGGGAACACAACGCTGTGGCTATGTCGGCTATTCGATGCTCAGCTTTCCTTGAATCGTCCAATTATCAAGCGCTTTTTCTTAACAGTGACCGGCGATGTTGACAGTACCTGTGTCCAATCATTCGCTGCGAAACGGGATGCTTTGGTGACCCAAGAGAGTCAAGGGATAACTAAGTCTGGAAAAGATTGCTGAGGATCTAAGTATTCCTGGTCCAGCTTTGCATTCCAAATAGGAGCAGTCCTGCGTACATGCCGTCGGTGTCGGCGTCGTCCGCTGTCCGACAAATACCCTCTGTACAAACCAGAGAATGCATTTGGTTAGTATTGTGTAGCCCATCAACTACTGTCCGACAGGAGGGTATCGGTCGTACCCAGTCTATTAGAATTTCCAGTGGCCTAGCATATTCTCTGGGGACCCTGTCAACGTTGACATGGTCCGACATCCCCCGGCAAGGTCCTGGCAGACGTGTCCCCTACACGCACCCTGCAGTGTAGATCTAATGGGATCGATAAAGCTCTCAAGCAATGATGTGATACGACATGAGAGCTGGTGTAACCAGTCGAATCTCTCGCATTACCCGATTTCATGATCCCAAGTTCCGAACTGGGCTTGCCCCTTGCATTTTCGTATCGTACTGTACTTTCCAGCATACAACAGCGAGTTGAGTTAGGGTTGGCCAGATATCTCGGGAAAATTAGGTATATATTATAATCGCCATATTCCCAGGAGATTAACAGCTTGCCTGTATCAGCTTGACTGTTCTATAGCTCCCCATCTCCCACTCAGAGCAAACCATTACACCAAGCCTCACAATGACAATTAAAAACCAAACCAACACAGAAATTCCCCGACTCTCTGCCACCACTGACTCCCACAACATATGGCCGACTGTGGAGGCCAACGGAGCCGCAATCATACAGAACTTTCTTTCCTTGGATGTCGTGCAGCGTTTGAATCGGGAGGTAGATCCCTATGTAAAGATAGAACCGATTCCAGCCGCCGAAACTAAAGACCATCCCAACTATGTCTTATCCACAACAACTCGGATTGTGAACGTCCTCACTGAATTCTCAAAGGCCTACCGCGAGGACGTGCTGAACAATGAGGTCCTCCATCGGATATCTTCTGATGCATTCAAGGTGTACGGTGATTATTGGGTTCTCATGGGCGCTGTGATGGAATTGGCACCGACGAATCCCGCCCAGCCTCTCCATCGAGACATGAGATATAGCCATCCTGTTGTCAACTATCTCAAGCATGATGCACCTGCCACTTCCATAAATCTTCTCATTGCACTGACACCATTCACCGTCGAAAACGGTGCTACACATGTGATTCTGGGGAGCCATAAATGGCAAGACATTGGCGGTGCTTCGATGGACCAGACTGTTCGCGCGGTGATGAACCCCGGGGATGCTCTGCTGATTACCGATAATACTGTACATTGTGGGGGAGCAGATACTACAGGGACCGAGACTCGCCGTTTACTGTCCCTTACGATGGGCATTAGCCAACTGACTCCGCTCGAGAGCAACTTTACCGTTCCCCGTCCGATCATGGAGAGCCTAACACCACTGGCTCAGAGGCTTCTTGGTTGGGGAAGTCAACGATCAGCGGCACCTCGTGATATAGGACTATTGACTATCCGAGGAAAATCGATTGAGAAAACGATGGGATTGAAGTCGAAGCAGCCACTTCCAGAGGATGGGATGGAATAGAAGTCCAATTCGGTCAGACTGAGATTGGTTGAAAGTAATATGATTCCTACGGAGATTATTCCGTATACGGGCCTATGATTGATGCATACTGGAAGGTCTGACTTGTCAACGGACTGCCCTGTGTAGACGAACTTCTGTACCGAGATTGAGATTGCCAACTAATCAGGGACTCTGGGTTGTTTTTTTTCCTTTTCTGTTGTTTGAAGACGGACCTTGGACTTCGTCTCGAGTAGCAGCTACAGTAAAACTGTCTTCAGAGTATAATAACGTCACCGTCACGCTAAATACCAGACATATGACTTGTCGGTGCAGAGAAAGGGGTCAAAAGGAAAGTGCGTCATTTTCCTCACATTGCACGTCGTGATTTCGCTTTTGCGTCTGTCTATGAGACCATTTCTTCAGCATAGGGGTTTAGACCGTGGTGTCTGAAATGGCAACTGCAGTTAGGGCACAAATAGCAAATTCCTGTATCTACAATCCCGCAACAGAAGGTTCTCATCCAACGCTAGGTTGGCCCCCGCCTACTATGCTATGAATACCACGCAGAGCTTCATAATGAAGCGTGTATCCTCGCTGTAAATCAAATGATATCTTCATTTGCCATGCTGCAAGCTTAGTCCTGCATAAGAGCCCATGTACTGATTTGGCTTCTATAGTCGGTGCCTAAGGATATGTAGGCAGCTATTGAAGCAGGTGGTTGGTATGCGAAACACTAATGTTTCCCAAAACCTTTCGTCGACCGGTCTTAAGTTTCACATGCCTTTGATGGAGAAGTCATCAGACCTTGCCTGGTTGTTTGCCCATACATTTCCCTGGTGTAGTCCCTCCATTTTTCCTGTGTCCCATACTCCAGGCTGTTAGATGCCCAGCAACAAACCTCCAGGAAGAATCAAGGGGCTGGATTCTGTGCTACTCTGGGCTACAACAGGCCCCTTTTTACTGCTTATATCGCATCTCCTTATAGCGGTGTGGCTGCTGTAGGCTTTCTATCACGTCTGCGGGCAGATCTGCGGCTGAAAGCACTGCTCTGCATGAATATAGGCATAGTCGTAAGATAGGATTCAGATGACGGAGAAGGTTACAATTACTATCTATATTGTCTCCTTACACCATTCCTACAGCTGGATAAGAGTAAAACTCTTGATAATGGTAAGTATGCAACAGCAGCTTTCTTGCTGTTTAGGACACACCACGGATTCAATTGTGCTGTAACACATAATGTCTGCAAAAACGCTCATCTTATCAGATTGTATAGGAGAAAAGGTTAATAAACGCAAAAGCTAGCTAGATATTAGAGTATTAAGTGGATTTATAAGGGAAATCAATTCGACACTCGAGCCTGTTCCTAGATTCGAAGTGATCTTTGTATTGAGTTCCTGATACCTATTGGTGTTGACTGTATCTATATTCATTCTAGTGATACATACTATCTGCATTCCTAGTAGATAGACTCCCTGTGATAATAGGACTAGCTTTCTAGGTATCATACCCGCGTGCAGGTTGATTGCTCCACATTCAATGCTTGTAATCTATGGATATGTCCTATCAAGAAACAGATGAAGGCCTCCTTGCTTCAAAACCTATCTTGACTCTTGTGCTTGGATCCCCTGTGTTACATCATACACTGAGTATAGATATAGCATCTCTCAGGGAGGTGAAGTATACTGACTCGTACTCAATGCTGAACCAGAAAAATTTCTCCTACATTCAGCTGAGCCAGCTCATCCTATGCAATGTCATGCTTGTAATATCACAAGATAGCGTCACACAGGAATGTAAGTGTAAGAAATAACGAATAGTAGTGCGTACTCACTGCTAAACCAGAAATATCAGTCCTACTTCCACCTCATCTCCCTCAATGTCGTGATCCTCCTGCCATGATCCCCTTTATATGTTATGGAGTATCCATGGTAATCATCTCCTAGGATAAAATTGATAGGCACAAGTTCAGTCCTCTTTCATTGAACTTCCTGTTATTCCACAAGAGAAACCTTTGCAGTACTCTCATCAGTTCCAGAATGCATCCTAGCCCTAAAAGTCATGGGATTTTCCCAAACCTTGGTGATGGCACAGGAGATCACGGTCAAGTGTGCACCCAAGAAGTCGAGGGTAGCTCAATTCCCGAGATCCAGAAGTTCTGTCACGAATATGATATCCCCGGCCACTCCTTTTACCTGACTGCGTGGTCTCTCGTTCTGCGTGCATTTGCTGAGACCGACTCCGTTTGTATTGGATTTGGAGACTTCCGTACACGATGTTCAGAGCTTGATCATGCTCCACTGAAGGTTATTCACGCAACTTTATCCCCTCAATCGTCAATATCACAGGTACTAAGGGAACTTGAATATGTGAAAAGTGAGGCCTCCCTCAATCACCAGGAAACAGATCACAATACAGGGGTAGTGCTGTTTCCAGAGGCCATTGACCCCTTGGAAGCCTTTTCTTCATTTGGAAAGGTGAGAGAATATGACTCCTTTGCAACCCCAGGGACCCAGCACAGGCCAATCGCAGAAGACTAAGTTTTGCGCAGTCAAACTATAGCCTCTTGCTGGGCGTTTCCTTCAGCGACTCAACGACTATGCCAATGAAGCTATCTTTATTCTACCGAGCTTCGAGTCTTTCCCCGGCCCACGCCGAGAATCTCTCTTCCAACATCGCACAAGCAATCCAGCAAGTCTTGGCTCATCCTAACGAGTGCATCAAAAACATAGAACTTGTTAGCCCCCTGAACAAAAGCGCCATTCTCAGCTGGAACAGAACAGAGCAGAAAGCGAAATCTTTGCTTGAGGTGATACATAGACACGCAAAAGACCGGCCCGAGCACCCGGCCATTTGTGCCTGGGACGGCACAGTGTCCTACTCGGAACTAGAGGTGCTTTCAACGCAGTGGGCATGCTACCTCCGGAGGCAAGGAGTTAAACCGGAATGCTTGGTTCCTATCATGATGGACCATTCCAAGTGGGCGATCATTGGCGAGATAGCCATATTGAAGGCCGGGGGTGCCTTTGTACCAATAGACCCGGCGCACCCAGTATCCAGACTGGAGAGTATTATCCAACAAACCGAGGCGAAAATTGCTCTCTCGTCCGCCCATCTCGTTGATAAATTATCAAGCCTTGTTGACACCGTTATTGCGATATCGGACGAGACAACATCAAGTCTTCCAAAGGCCCTCCGGGATACTGTCAATCCTGTCGGATTTGATCGCACAGCTTATGTTCTTTTTACATCTGGGAGCACTGGGCGGCCTAAGGGATGCGTTGTGAAATACAGGGCGCTGAGTGATGTAGTAAATCAGACTACAGCACTCAAAATAGGTCCTGAGAGCCGGGTCTTACAATTCGCCTCGTACACCTATGGCATGTCTTTGATTGAGATCCATTGTACGCTCGCGGCTGGAGCTACCATATGTGTACCGTCAGAGGACGATCGATTGAATGCCTTGGACAGTGCTGTTCGATCCATGCGCATGACTTGGGCCATCTTAACACCATCAACAACGTTATCTATTGCTGAATCCGTGAAATGCTTGAAGACGCTAGTTGTAGCAGGAGAACGCATGGGTATCGGTCATTTTCGCTCTTTGGCAGACAAGGTGGAGCTGCTCCAGGCATTTGGATTGACTGAATGGAGTGGAATCTGTTGTGTGTCACAACAGATTAGCTCCGAAACCGATATGCGAGTTATTGGTCGTTCACCTACGGCGAATCTATGGCTCGTAGATCCCATCGACGGCAATAAACTGGCTCCAGTGGGGACGGTTGCTGAACTACTGGTTGAGGGGCCAGCACTGGCAGACGGCTACCTAGGGGATACACAACAGACAGCCTCAGCGTTCATCAAGGGTCCTCCTTGGCTTCCGGTATTCACTGCTGCCAGGCTTTATAAAACGGGTGACTTGGTGCGGTATACAGCCGATGGGAACCTTCAGTATATTGCCCGAAAAGACAACCAAGTCAAGATTAGGGGGATGCGGATTGAACTTGGGGAGGTGGAGTACCAGATCCGACGGGCATCCCCTCTGTTGGAAGAAGCAATTGTGGAAACCGCTGCCACAAAGAATTCTAACGGGATTCCAGTTCTCGTGGCCTTCTTGTATTCGGGCAGCCAAACCGACTCATCAGGACAATCTTTCGTGCATATGATCGACGTCATTAAGCAATCCCTGGCGCAGACTTTGCCAGAATACATGTGGCCCAGCGTCTTTGTCCCATTACACTCGGTGCCGCTGACCATCTCTCGAAAGATTGATCGGCAGGCTCTTCGCCATCGTATTCAAACAACGACACGTAAGGAGCTGGAGGTGCACCAATCCTCATTCGCTTCCATAGCGACGCCGCAGACCGATCTGGAAAGACAACTACATCGGTTTGTTGCTGAGGTGCTGCACCTGGAGCTGCCATCATTTGGCATGCGTCAGAGTTTTATCAGTGTAGGTGGTGACTCCGTTACAGCTATGCTTTTAGTCAACAAATGCAAGAAGCATGGCTACAGGGTGACTGTTGCGGCAATCCTCCAAGCGCAATCCCTTTCCGCTATTGCCTCCCTGCTTCAAACTTCGATGCCAACGGCAGACCCAGGATCCTCGCACAGAAAGACAACCGCAGTAGAATCGCGGTCAAAAATTCCTTCCGCACCGAGCGGGTATGCACCTATACCCAGGCTTTCTCATTCTAGGCCTGTCGAACAATCATTCTCGCAGGCGCGTATATGGTTCCTGGAAGAGCTTCATCCTGGATCGACTTGGTATCTCCTGCCGTACGCAACGCGGTTACAAGGCTCACTCCAACTGGAAGCACTGGGAACCGCACTTTCCGCTCTGGTAGAGCGTCACGAAACACTCCGAACCACGTTCGAAAGCCGGAATGGCATTGCAGTGCAAATAGTCAGCCCATTTCAGGGCATACAATTGCAAGTAGTTGACATACCGTCTGGCTCTAATGCCGAGCTCCTGACGGCCCTCTACCAGCAACAAATGACGCCAATCGATCTCACCAAAGAGGCCTGGCGATTCACAGTATTCAAACTCTCCCCCAAGGATCATGTTCTCTCAATCGTCCTGCATCATATTATATTCGATGGCTGGTCATTCGATATCTTTATGAAAGCGCTGGGGGCATACTATTCTACTGCTATCCGAGCTCTGCCGCCACTCAGCCAAGTTGAACCCCTTCCAATTCAATATCGTGACTTCTCCGTCTGGCAACGACAAGAGCAGTCCAAGGTGAACCAGAAGCAGCTAGCCTACTGGGTGAGCCAGCTTGACGGTAGTCAGCCGGCCGAGTTTCTGTGTGATAAGCAGAGGCCAGCTATGCCTTCAGGTATAGCCGGTTGCCAGGATGTCAAAATAGGCGACTCGCTTTACCAAGACCTACAGCGCTTTTGCAGGTCTAAGGACGTAACACCCTTCACCGTTCTTCTAGCTGCATTCAGAGCCACGCATTATCGTCTGACGGGGGCCAATGACGCCACCATTGGCATTCCATCTGCATCTCGTACTCGACCAGAGCTGGAGGAACTCATTGGTTACTTCGGCAATGTACAATGCATTCGGACAAAGATTGAAAATGAGAATCAATCCTTCCACCGACTAGTCTATCAAGTCCAATCAGCGACCACTGCGGCCTTCGAGAATCAAGACGTTCCGTTTGACCAAATTGTATCAAAATTGCTCAGGGATCGTGATGTATCTCGCCATCCATTAGTACAGGTTACCTTTGTTCTACATACACAGGCAAATTTTGGAGAGCTTCATCTGGAGGGCTTAAGGACTGAACATCTTCGCCTTCCACAAGTCTCCAGGCTAGATCTGGAATTCCACCTGTATCCAGGTCAGGATTGTCTCCAGGGAAATATACTTTACGCGGAAGACTTGTTCTATCCTGAGAGTATCCATACAATGCTCTCTGTCTTCTACGATGTTCTTCGGGCGGGCCTCTGTCAGCCAGAAACAGATATTAGCTCACTACCACTGACAGATGGTTATCCGTCATTCTGCGAGCTAGGCCTGATATATTCTGAGAACGAGTCTCGTTCGCAGGGCTTGAGTATTATCGACATATTTTATCAGCAGGTTGCCGCTCATCAAGACCAAATAGCTGTCATAGATACCGATACACAACTAACCTACTATGAGCTGGATCAGAAATCCACCATGCTTGCCACTTGGTTAACAGATCGCCACTCATTCGCCATGGAAACACCTGTCGGTGTATTCGCCAACCGATCATGTGAGAGTATCATTGCTATCCTAGGTATACTGAAGGCAGGCCTAGCATATGTTCCACTGGATATTGACGCTCCCATCCAACGAAACGAGACAATCCTCTCATGTCTTCCGAGCTGTCACCTTGTCCTGGTAGCATCGGGTCTTACGGCACCTCCCATCTCTTCACAGAGCACAAGATTTGCTTATATCGCAGACTGCTGTTGCGAGGCGGCCGAGGAAGCCAACGGATTTCCAAGAGCAACTCCAAGCCCCTGTTCGTCTACAAGTCTGGCATATGTTCTGTTCACATCCGGTACAACCGGGAAGCCAAAAGGAGTGATGGTGGAACACGGTGGTGTAATTCGGCTAGCGAAGGACCCAGAGATCGTTACCCACTCGGTGGAGTGTAAGGCTGCACCATACATACTGAATCCTGCCTTTGATGCATCAGGTTTCGAAGTATATTCAACCTTATTGAATGGCGGAACGTTGGTGTGCATTGACAAAACGGTAGTCTGGGACTATACTGCGCTGCAAGCCACCCTTGTCAAGCACGGCATCCGACGCGTCTGCTTCACCACGGCTATGCTGAAACAGTGTCTTGTCTCTTGCCCAGCCATCATGGGCTTGCTAGATATTCTGCATGTTGGCGGGGACAAGCTTGACCCCAAAGACGTCGTCAAGGCGAGGCGGTTTGGAACGCCCAGGATTTTCAATCTCTACGGACCGACGGAGAATTCTATCGTCAGTACAAGCTACGATATCCCGATGGATGAGGCGGGCATTAACGGTATCCCTATTGGTCGAGCGATCCACAACTCTGGAGCCTATGTGATGGACCCCAACCTCCGGCTGGTACCCATAGGTGTGATGGGCGAGCTGGTTGTTACCGGTCTCGGGCTCGCCAGAGGATATACCGACCCTGAGAAGAATGTAGGTCGCTTTATGACTATACATATCGGTGGGAAAGCAGTACGTGCATACCGAACTGGTGACATGGTACGATACAGGCCCAGTGACGCCCAGCTGGAATTCTTCGGCCGCATGGATCAACAAGTCAAGGTTCGGGGACATCGCATCGAGCTGGCTGAGATTGACAATACGCTTCTTCTAAACAGCTGGGTTAACGCTGCAATATCTGTTCTGCAGCAAGCACAGGACGATCAGGACCCAGAACTTGTCAGCTTTGTCACAGTCCAGGACGCGGGGTCGCCGTTTGAGAAACAGATTGAGAATGAACATGTGAATGCCTGGAGAAATATTACTGATGGGGAGGATCATTATGGCAATCTTGGCGCCATTCAACGAGACACACTAGGCAGGGACTTCCGGGGCTGGGTCTCAATGTACGATGGCGAGGCAATTGATGAACAAGTGATGCACGACTGGCTAGAAGATACTATTGCAACAATACTCCAATGTGGCCCAACGACGGTGTTAGAAATTGGAACCGGGACTGGAATGATCCTTTTTAACCTGATTGGCGATCTACAGCGGTATTTTGGCTTGGAGCCTTCCAGTCAAGCAGTTGGATTTGTTCAAGAGGCAGTTACTCACTGGGTTCCGGAGGCTGCGAGAAAGGTTCATATACAATGCGGCACAGCATCAGAGCTTGCAGATGTGAAGGGTGCAGGACCAATTGAGCTCGCAATAATCAACTCAGTGGTCCAGTACTTTCCCTCTCTCAGTTACCTCATCAAGGTCATAAAGGACCTCATACACCTGCAGGATGTCAAATGCATCTACTTTGGGGATATCCGATCTTATGCACTTCATCCGGAATTCCAAGTAAGCAAAATACTGCATCAATATGGCCACACATTGACCGGAAGCGAATTTCGGCAAAAGATGACTGAAATTGCCCAGCGGGAGAAAGAGCTTCTTGTTGATCCGATCTTCTTTACGGCATTGGCAAGTGAATGGCCGGACCTGATTGAACACGTCGAGATATTACCCAAACAGATGAAGACAACAAACGAACTCAGCTGTTATCGTTACACAGCCATCTTGCACGTCAAACGCTCGAGCCATCCATTGCTTGTTCGGGAGGTCGAGCAAAGCTCATGGGTTGACTTCAAAGCTCTGCAACTGAACCGCCAATCCCTCTCCGAGTTGCTGACGACAGCCAAGGATTCTTCGATCCTGGCTGTGAGCAACATTCCCTACGCGAAGACCATCGTGGAACGACGAATGGTTGATTACCTTCGAGATTCGCCTGTGGGAACTGGTTCTGCCGGTTGGAGTATGAATGTCTGCAAGCAAGCCCAAGATTGTCCGGCATTGGCGGCGGTTGACTTGATCAATCTCGCCCAACAGACAGGATGGCAGGTTGAAATCAGCTGGGCCCGACAACGCTCGCAGCGTGGCGGACTGGACGCTATCTTCCACCGTCTTGAACCCCGTCACAAAGGAGCACGGGTGATCTTCCGATTCCCAGTGGATCAACACCAGCGCGGACTGACTGGTGCATCCAGTAATGATCCCCTGGCGCCGCAGCGGAACCAGAGAATTGAAAATCGGTTGCTGGAGACTCTACGCGCTAAGCTTCCCTCATATATGGTGCCTAAGATGGTTCGTGTGCTGGACCACATGCCCATTAATACTGTCGGTAAGGTTGACAGGCAAGCTCTCGCGCAAAGAGCCGATATCGCTGCGTCTGGCAAAGCCATGAAAAGAAAATCTTTGAGCAGGAACAATAATATGTCATTCGCAAATGGCATTGAGCGTGTGCTGTGGGAAGAGTTCATCAGTGTGCTTGGAATGGAGGTTGGAATCATGGATAGCTTCTTCGACTGCGGCGGGCACTCCATGATGGCTATTAAATTGGTCTCTAGGATCAATAAGCGACTCCGTTGTAGCCTCCGAGTGAGTGACCTCTTCCAGTGTCCAAGTATTTCTCGTCTTGGCGAGCTGGTTCGGGGCTGCTCCGGATTAAGCTCCAGTTCTGCCGTCGCCTATGAACCTTTCTCTCTTCTTGATGGCAGCCTCTCAGGGTTGCAATCGTTCGACTCTTCCCACTACGCCGAGATGCAGCTGCCTCCAGACACTGACATCGTTGATATACTACCCGTGACAGAGTGTCAGGCTTGGTTCCTCACTGACTGGAGTCCGGTGTCGCATACCTTCACTATCTCTGGGGAGCCGGATGTTGATCAGTTGCGTGCTGCCTGTCAGACAGTCATGCGGCACCATGCTATCTTACGCACCGTGTTCACCAAGCTCCAAGGCCGGCTGGTTCAGGTCATCTGTGGAGCTGTCAAGGCCCCGTTTACCCACGAGTACACGGGCCGTGTCTTCCACGATACCAATGACGCCGTAGCGTTCGCCCCACCCGGGTTATCGACGAGGTTTGTGCTGACCTCTCGGTCTGGAAGAGAGCATACCTTTACTTTGCAATTATCCCATGCTCAATATGACGGGCTTTCGTTATCTTCGATCCTGTCTGACATAGCATCTGCATACGGCGGCTCGTCGCAGTTGCCTAGCACAATACCCTTTTCCCACTACGTACATGGTTGTGCTTTATCTCGCTCGGGGGATGCACTGGGCTTTTGGAAACAGTACCTAAAGGGTTCTGTTTTGACTGCAATACGCTCTTTAAACAGCGCGATGAAAGGCCCGCCTGTGGATATTATACGAGAAGCAGTGGGCGATCTCCTTCCGCTGCCTGACATTACATTCCCAACGATTGTTAACGCAGCAATCGCCATCACACTTGCCGGCCTGGTCAGACGCAACGACGTGACTTTTGTCTGCGTCATGAGCTCGCGCGATACACTTACTCAAGGGACCGACACTCTCCTAGGGCCCTGTGTCAATCGCACGCTCATCCGCGTCCAATTAACCCCCGAATCCGATGCTCTGGATTTCTGCCGTAACTTGCGCGACAATCAAGCTCGAGTCTCTACACAGAGCCATTTGGGATTGGATGATATTATTGAGAACTGTACCGACTGGTCTTCGAGTGATCGACTTGCCCCCTTTGTGACTCACCTCCCAGCAGGTACAGCGACACCCTCATTTTCATTATCGGGGGCAAGAGTTTCATACAAGTCAACGGATGTGCGCATCAATCCCAGGAACCAGGTCTTTGTTCGCTCGACGACCACAGACCAACAACAAGCATGTATACAGGTCCAGGCCTCAAGCGCTGTGATGGACGGCAATACGGCTTCATCACTGGCTTCCAGGATTTTGACGACTGCCCAGGTATTATCTGGGTCTCCGGAAAGGAACCTTCGATCCATGGGGATCCTGCAGTCCCCAGATGAGCAGAAATAGTATCTCAGCATTGAACATAATTAGCACGTAGAGCTGCAATTAGGTTTCCAATTTTTTCGTTGCAATCAATCCTCTGAGACTAATATAATGATAAGGAGTTTTTAACTTGGGATATTTGAACTTATAAATTTGACTGAAACTTTTCCTTTGCTTGACATTATTGAATTAGATATGGAATTAGATGGCACCACAGAGCCTGTAGACCCCCAGGTAGCCCGCCCCCCGTTCGCCGGCGTGATGCTGTACAGGATACAAGCCTCTTCCCTGCATCGGCTGCACTTACTCTGACCAACTCGTGAGTCCGGTCTTTTCATTGATTAGTAGACTCTCCGAGCCAGATGGTTCAGAGTGCTTCCGACCACTTAATCCGGCCAGAAAAGCTTTGATCTACTAGAACTTTTATAGCTATACTAGAAGAACATGGAGGAAGTGGGGGGACCGCGCAATGTTACCTTGTTTGTTCCTCTATTCCTCCGTGAAATCTCGATGACGACTAGGTACTCGTTATGTTACATTATTCCAATGACCCAAGTCACCCTGGTTGGCAATCAAAATGGATGGAAGAATCATCACGACATCACCTACGTTCTTTTATAATGCAGAGACTCGCAGTTTTCTCCATGAAACCGTGGGTAAACTGATGGTAGTCTTGCTGCAAGCAGAACTTCGGGGGGTGTAGCTTCTGGGGGATGTTACCCTCATGAGTGAGTAATATTTAAACCCCCTCGAGTGACTTGATAAATCTAGGATTACATTCATCCAACACGCAACACTACAATAAGCACAGTGATACACTTTTATATGAGACGGCCGCTAGTCTGGGTCAGTTCTGTACTACCACGACAGGAATCTTGTTGAACCTCGAAGCACAATGTCGAATACACGAGGAGCCCCCAAGAAGGTTTGTGATATCTCAACAACTTCCCCAATTCTCCCCGTCTACATCTTTACTGCTTGCTGGTCTAACATATCCATAGAATTCTGCTGTCGTCGACGGTGAGAAAGGCAGATGCCCAGTTCCTGATTCTTCCTCGGGAGGTGGCAGTGCCACAATAGCGAACCAGGTCTCCAAGCATGTCAACGAGATCTTTGCCCGCCATGTCCGGCGGCATCATAAACCTTACTATCACATAAGCCACGAGCATGAGGATGAAATGAGCAACGTCCATTGGAAGCTTGAAGCTGCTGGGCCCAAGGTAGAGCATGCCATCGTGAAGGGGAGGGAGCTCCTCGAGGAGGGAGTCAATCCGGAGCTGATGCACCACGCGCTGGGTGTCTACCTTACTCACTCTAAAGATGCTCAGGAACGCAGAATCCAGGCGCCGGCGTTGAAGGAGCATCCGGTATTCCGAGCGCAACGGCCGGAGACTCTCCAGACCCCGCAGCCGACAGCTGTTGCTGGGGAAGTGGTTACAGGCGACACACTTCAAGGCCCTGCGTTATTGTCGTACTGGCGGGACGACTACGACATGAATGATGCTCATTACCACTGGCACATGGTGTTTCGCGGGGCTGGCGGAAACAACTCGAAGAATGTTAGGACCATTGACCGTCAAGGAGAGCTATTCTTGTACACGCATTCGCAGATGGTGGCTCGCTATGACACGGAAGGGCTATGCTGGGGCCTTCCTCTTGTGAGGCCATGGGACCAGTACGACGACGTGCTTGAGTATGGCTATCAACCTCTGCCAGCGCTGTTAGACTACTACGGAGGTTATCCGGCATTCTCCAGCTGGTACCGTATCAGAAACCCAGATATGAAGGACGTCCCAGGCGTGACAATTGGCGTCGCTGATATGGAAGAGTGGCGAAATAATATTTACGAGGCTATCAAGACGGGATATGTGGTGACCAAGCCCAAGAACAAACCGGATACTACAATAAGAAGACCGCTGGCCTTGACCGGAGACAACTGTCTGAATTACGTCGGTGGCCTGCTCGACGCACAGTATGTCTTTTTTGACCCGTTGCCAGATGACTTCGAAGTTGATGCCGCCAAATACGGGATCCTACACAACTACGGGCTGGGCAAGTTCTCGGAAATGTCGTATCGGGATAACGACAAGGAGAAAGTCCCCTATGGTCTCATGATATCCAATTTTGCCGCACCTCGGGACCCTTGTTTCTGGCCGTGGTACAAACATCTCCAAGGTTTCGGTCAGCTCGCTGGGACCAGGTATCCTCAAGATATTACCAAGCATAAGGCTGAAGTCGATCTGTCAAACCTGGTCATAAGGCCGCAAGACACCAAGTCACCTCTCTATGCTAATGGCGGAGTGACTACTTTCTTAGGACCACCTGCAGCAGATCTCCTGGAGAGCAAAGCGAAACTGGATCATGAGCCGTATGAATGGAGTGTGCAAGTCCGCAGCTCCCGCGAAATTCCGCCGTCGGTTGATAACCCTCAGAAGTTGACACTGAGGTTCTTCATTGCGGCAAAGGATCTCGTGAACTACTACCACCACTGGATCGAGATGGACAAGGTCACAGTTACCCTCACAGGCGAGTCGTCCATCCTCACCGTGGTGCGTCGCGACACCGAATCGTCGGTTGCCCGGAAGACGAGAAACTACGGCGAACCAGACCCAGCTTACGCTTCCGCATGGTGTCGCTGTGGGTGGCCGCAAAATCTGATGCTTCCCGCCGGGAAACCGGAAGGGATGCCGTTCGTCGCGTTCTGCATGGCGACGGACGACGCGTTGGATCTCAATACACCCACCTCTGCGCTCAGCTTCTGCGGTGCCATCCTGAAAGACCAGAAGTATCCGGATCCCCGAGGCATGGGCTACCCTTTCAACCGGGCATGGACCCAGCTCACTAACGCAACCACGGGCAAGATATCCATCAGTACCATCATCGGCAACAACACAGACTTTCCATTTATCACCAGCAGTGATTTCAAGATCTTCCGCACGACCAAGTATCGACACCCCGCGGCCGATCCACTCCCGACCGGTATCACCTGGAACAACACCATCAAGGACTATTTCACACAAGATGACGTCGACTGCATGGTCAGCGAGTACGGGTATAACCTGCGCCAGTACGAGGACGTGAAATACCACTGCCATAACATCTATTGGGCGGTCGCAAGCGGTCGCATGCCGTTGCAGATGGACCCCTACACCCAGAGTAATCCAGATCCCAAGCATCCGCTCTGGACAGTTGAAATGTGTGACAACTTCCGTGCATGGATGCTAGTTGGGTGTCCGGAGGATACGGAGGATACGGACGATATGGCTGGCCGCAAGCTGTTGCATGCCGTTCCTGATGGACCCATACACCCAGAGTAATCCAGATCTAAAGCATCCACTCTCGACAGTTGAAATGTGTTACAAACTTTTGTGCATGGATGCTAAACGGCTGTATATTTAGATACTATTATTAGAGGCAGTGGAGAAAGCGCATAAGGCCGTGGTGAAGCTGCTAGGTACTTAAGACGAGGAAGGCGGGGAGGTGGATATAGACTCGAGGGACTCTACACATCTAAACCCTACTATTATAGGCAGCAGAGAATGGATATCAGGTGGTAGTAAAAGCTACTACGTAAGATAGGGAAGAATGGTAGTACTGTGAGACTATTCACCCTGTCTATTCTACACTCAACTAAGCCCACCCATAGTCGCGCGACTAAAAGCAGTGTGGCGCAACGGCAGCACCCACTGACCTTTTGACTGCGTTGAAGCACACGCCGGCTGGTTAGTAGTTAGGTAGGTGACCACAAGCAAATCAAATCCCGGCTGTTGTATGATTTTCTTGAACTTTTGCTGTCCTTTCAAGAAATTTGCTCGCATATTATGCCTTGGGAACTCTATAGAGGCCCGCCTATTGCATGTGGACGCAACCGTCACACGGAGCGCTGACAGAAGAGCTCCAGGGAGGGCAATTAGGCGGCCCCGCGCATGCAAGAGGAAATCGAACGTCTCGATAAGAAAAAGCATCCCAGCGGGCTATCGACCGTACCCTGACATTGGAGTGAGTAGGCCTTGAGGTGATGGTGGCTTCCAAGTTCGCTTCTGGGCCACCTGCATATGTTGTCGTTTCCAACTAGAGGGTGCTCCATAGACCATAGGGTTTGCTTCATTTCCAAAAGTAACCGGGCTGTTGATCAACCCCTAAGTTTGAGAAATGGATGATCCATCAATTCGCGAGCTGCTTCCTCCTCTCCGGGAGCCAGGTAAGCATTTGTCGAGCAAAAGATAAAAATGCTACTCGATCCTTAAGTGGCTATCACGGCGGCCGGTATCAAGGAAGAGGAAGTCCCGCGCAGCGGCATCCCCACACTCACACCACTGGGAATTGTGGATAGTCGCTCGGAAATTGGCGGCGGGCACATCGACTACTCGTCCGTCATCCCTGCATCCGGCTGACGAACTGTGCGAATGGTACCTAACCGCCAAACAGCGCACCATGGACTCAAAGTTCGACTTTTTTTCTCGCCGACTTCCACATCTACCTTCGCTATGTGATTGGTATTGGGCTCATCATTTACACCCTGCAGGAGGAGGCGCCCGTCCACCAGCTGTGTCGGCGCCTCGTGCGAGACGGTGCAGCTAGGGTATATATCATACCGCACGCATGTGAGCTATATGGACGATCTAACGAGGAAGTTGGACTTCAATGACTCTTCGATTTCAAGGTTGTGGGTGTCATGAAGCGTACGCTGGATCCGGATGGGATTTTGTCTCCGGGTAAGTCGGGGATTTGGAATAGAGATGTGTCTGAGGTGATGCCGAATTCGCATCTGTAGTAGGATAATAGGATCAGAGGCACATTATAGACATATATCTATGGGAATAGGTAAGTTGAGCAATACTATGTTTGTCAGTAGGGTTACCATCCCTTTTGCAGATGAACGTATATGCTGATTACTATAAATATCACAACCTCTGGGACAAGTACTGTTGATATGACAGAAAGAATAGCAACAAGAAAGAAAAAAGAAAGTAAAAAAAGAAAGGTATCGGCACCCTTCAAACCGCGGCCAATGCAATACAGTTGCTTTGTTCTTGGCCCCTACCAAGTAAAGCTCTCTTCGATATAATCGACCTGCGACGTACTCTGTACCTTCCGACATGCGGATCGAACATCGTCACTCAAACTTCCTGTTCCGCAGACAAGCACTCCCATCGCTCCAATCTGTCTGCTGGCTTCTTTCCTAACCACCAAAGCAACATCGGGACGACCCGCAAGAATCTCGACCACAGCAGCGGAAGGACCATCCAGCCATCGAATCTCCTTAATATCGCACGGAATGGTGATGAAAATTCTGATTACCAACACCTCCCGACATTTTTCTATGCCAAGTATCTGGGCCATCCAAAGCCGTACCCAGTCCAGGTGTTCAGGCTTACGAACGATCCAGACTAAAATAAGCCGACGCACCGCGACATTGCCCTTCACATGACCCTGAACGAGACGTTGAATGAATGGTAATTGGTGACTGATCCCAACCCCTGCAGAGAAGAGAAGGACTGTACCGTATGATTCCATGGTATTAGTGGCAATCCCACCACCGTACGGCCCTTCCACAATTGCCGGTATAGTGATCCGACAGTCCGTAGCCTTCAACGTACGTTGGAAAAGGGTGTCAGTGAAGCCTGTTCGGCGACGAACCAAGAGCGAGAAAGTTACTCTCCGGAGGTTCTCTCCCTCCTGCTGCACATCACCCCAGCAGACCGAAAATGGGTGAAAAGTCCACCACCCGACGGCCGGGATGCACAAGAATATGTGCTGGCCAGGTTCAAAAGTCCAGGGCTGAGGTATATGCAAGTCGACCTTCATTGCGTCACCAGGAAGAATTTCGATGGATGCAGTGGTAAGGCTTAGGCCCCAGTTTCGATACACAATCCTTGAAACCCGAATAGCTCTCTGTCTGAGGCGGTTACTAATGGCAGCATTATAGTCCGGCACTGTGGCCGGCGGGGCAGAGGATGTGTTTTTACCTCGATGGCCCAGAGAATTAATGCCGTAAGAAGGTAATTCTCAGCGGAACGGCCTCTGAGATGCATCCAGAGGTAGGCAAACACAACGGCTACCATTGCGATATGTAGGTGGAGAAATGATTCGTAAAATGCATGGCGAATCAGTGAAGGGGAATGCAATAACAACCCAGTGAAGACACAAAGAGCCTATTCAATTTACTCAGTAAGTCCGCGCATTCTCACGCCTGAGAATTAGTGCATGTGGATAAATCACTCACAATGAGACCATTCCTTAAAAAGGTGCTTTCACGCAATGCTGCTCCTACACCACTCCAACCTACTATAAAAGAGAATATGTAGGATCAGTGATCGGCAGTGCGCCAAGCAGATTTCAAGGTATAGGCAAGGGTTGTTACCTTCAGATGCCTTGGGGATACACCACGCGAAAGCATGGGCAAGAGCTTCCAGAATGACTATACGAGCAAGCCAACGATGAAGCAGGTTGAACGTGTCGAACGGGATCGAGAGAAGTGAGATTAAGGGATTATTTCGGCCTGAGAACAAAACGAGAGGCACTAGATTAACAGTCGCAATGGTGCCGAAACGGTGCCGCATTCGGCTTCCCAAAGTCTCTGTGCTTGTGCCAAATGGTATTGCAACTATGCACAGAACAACATTCATGCTGATCAATGCAAGGAGTAACAGTGTCTGGAATCGGCTCGGCAAGGTACCCATATTGACGGCTCGAGAAAGACGGAGCTCCGCATTGTGGCGCCTAGAAAAGAGAGGAGCATCAATGAGATGGACTCTCAACTCTGCTAGGGGACGGTATGGGCGTGCAAAGTAGCATTGTCGTTCGTCATTAAGACTTAAAACGAGTCTTATGTATCGCACCAGACGGAAATATGTAGCCCAAGCAAAGATGATCATGGCCAGACCACCGAGGGCTAGGAGAGTGTAATAAGCAAGGTTGTGGTCTAGACTTTCCTGGTGAGGGTCCTCCGCATGACCTTCAGCCCTACCACGATACAGGTGGTCTTCGATCGCCAAGGGAAATCGCATAGCGGAGAAGTAAATCCACAGTGAGGCTGTGAATGCTGTCTGGGGAAGTTTGGTTTCAGGCAGGCTCTTCTGCCTTGAATGGAAAGATTATGGGGAAGAAATGCTGTGGCAGCCATGGCAGCATTGCATCTTATATTTGCTACAGGTCAGAGATATCATGAAGCCCAAGAAGCTGTTAGGCTCTTGCTTCCGGGGAAATCTGCAGTCGGCTGTTCCTTGACTGGGTGTCCTTCATTGCCGAGACACATCTTGATTTCTGGGGCCCGTGTGGATCTCATATTGCCGTGGGGTTTAGGTAGACGCCTGGGATGTGATGATGCAACCAGAAGGTTCGTATTACCGGAGGACATCACCACAGTCTTCAACAATCTTTCACCGAGGTTTCCCCATGGGGAAAATAAGGTGCAAAGCAGTTTGATCTCCATGGGGTTGGATTCACATCACAAAGCGCAGATTGAATTTTGAAAAATCCGTCATTAATCCGTGATAAACACCAGGTCCTACATGACCCGGTTAACTGAGTTTTGGGCGGATTTTATAATTTATGATATGGACCTTCAGGCCGTCTGGCTGGAAAGTTCCGCCAGATCGGGGACGGGCCCGGGCCGCAAGCCCGCAATGTCCCCATACAGCACCTCCACAACCAACAATACATATAGAATATGTAGATATAAGAGTAATGTGTTATAGTCCTCCCGAACTCACCTAACTCACCTAGGGTCTTTAGACCCAAGTGCGGGTTAGTTTAGCCAGGGGCCTTGTGAAGGATTCATGCTGGGCTACGAACCATCCAACTGAGGTACAATACCTACTACAATCTGACCCCATAACCTGCTTTTCCCGGGGATTTAGTGCACACGGGCAGTTGTCGGGAATTTGGCTGGCTTGGGGGACCTTTTGTGGACAACTCAACCTGGACGTGCTTTAGCCCGAGCACAGCGAATATCTCATGCCTGGAATATGTCCTGATATGTTTTGGACGACTGGGAGCACGGGTTTGATCAATAAATTGCATTTCCCCGGACTTTCTTGCGCTCGGGCAGTTGTCGGACATTTGGCTCGCTTAGGGAACCTGAGCACCGTGGCATCTCATGCCTGGCATATGCTCAATATGCTTTGGATAGCTGACAGCGCGGGCTGAACGGCAAGTTACGTTTCCCCAGCTCTCCTTGCGCTCGGGCAGTTGTCGGGAATTCGACTGGCTTGAGTAACATCTCGGTGGCAAAGTGTGAATAACAACGATTGTTGAATGTCCTCTGTGGCCACAGAATAGATTAATGTGGCTTGTTAAGGAAAGCCTGTAAGAGCAAAGTAACTTTTCTCTTACAACCACTTTTGGCAAATGCAGACAACACCAAGTGGCGTGACTTTGCTTCAGAAACATATATAACAGTGAAAGGGCACATTGCTCTGGGTTTGTTCATGCCATTATCATACAATTTCTTCACCTCTTTTAGTTCTTCAGCTTTTTCCTAAACCAATATAATTGGCCATTGCTCGTCCTATCACTACATATAACAATGATCTTCTCCATTTTGGTGGCTGCGGGCTGTTTCGCGTCTGCTTATGGACATGGATATCTGACTATCCCTGCGAGTCGTACCCGTCTTGGGTTCGAGGTAAGGGTGCAAGTGATTCCCTTCTCGTTGCATAATGTTGACGATTATTCTACGTATTCTAGGCTGGTATTGATACGTGTCCCGAATGTTCTATCTTGGAACCAGTTACAGCCTGGCCTGATCTTGAGGAAGCTCAAGTTGGCCGGAGTGGGCCATGTGGCTACAATGCCCGTGTTAGCGTTGACTACAACCAGCCCAGTGATCACTGGGGTAATGAACCGGTGGTAACTTATACTTCTGGGGAAGTTGTTGAGGTTCAATGGTGTGTTGATGCGAATGGCGACCACGGTGGCATGTTCACATATGGTATTTGCCAGAACCAAACCCTGGTTGATAAGTTCCTAACTCCAGGCTACCTCCCAACCAATGCTGAAAAGCAAGCTGCAGAGGACTGTTTCCTGGAGGGTGAACTCAAATGCACCGATGTCTCTGGCCAGACATGTGGGTACAACCCGGATTGTACAGAGGGAAAAGCCTGTTGGAGAAATGATTGGTTCACATGTAATGCCTTCCAGGCTAATACTGCCCGGGCCTGTGAGGGAGTTGACAGGGCGCCACTGAACTCCTGCAAGACAACGATTGCCGGTGGTTATACCGTAACCAAGCGGATCAAAATCCCGAACTACTCCTCCAACCATACCTTACTCCGCTTCAGATGGAACTCTTTCCAGACTGCACAAGTCTACCTTCACTGCGCCGACATTGCGATTTCTGGGTCTGGAAGTACTACAACCTCTACGTCTACAAGTGCTACAACCTCCAAGACGACAAGTACCACTTCGACTTCCACGTCCACGTCCACTTGCACCGCTACAGCTAGTCTTATCCCCGTCACTTTTAATGAATTGGTGACCACGACCTACGGAGAGAACATTTTTATCACTGGGTCAATCAGCCAATTGGGCTCTTGGTCCACCAATAACGCGGTGGCGCTGTCCGCCAGCCGGTACAGCGCCTCGAACCCGCTGTGGATCACGACGATCAATCTCCCAGCAGGAACGACATTCGAATACAAGTTCATTAAGAAGGAGACTGACGGGAGCGTCATCTGGGAGAGCGGCCCAAACCGCAGCTACACTGTTCCTACCGGATGCTCAGGTACCACCGCCACAGCAACTGCTAGCTGGCGGTAGATTTAGGATGGGATATGGTCAAATGCTGTATTGACTTCCTCTCATTTTTGCTGCTCGCAGCTTTTTTATCACTTGATCCAGGAGAAGGACTCTATGCGTGATAGGTTAATATTCTCTCCTCTATCTAAATGAAGACTTTCGTGGAATCCAGCTTTTCAAGGAGCAACAAGTGCATACACTTCTATTGCTAGCGGATATTCTAGCCATCAATAAATGGTCTACCTGGTCTAGCAATGACTCTCTGTAAGATTTAGGTAAGGAGGGTGAATAAAATAAGGTTCCCAGCGTTAAACCTAATGGATTAAAAAGCCTATGCGAAGTCTTAATATACAACAGCCAGGATTTACTAGTGACCCACCTAATTACATCAACATAGTCAAAGGTTTAGTGGGTGCTGCCGTCGCGCGATGCTGCGTTTTAGTCATGTGGCCGTGGGCGAGCCTAGGTAAGCCTGAGTAAGTATAGAATAGACAGGGTAAGTAGTCTCCTATAAGCACCTATGGTTGCCTGAATAGTGATATCAAAACTATGAGAGATATCTAAGGATTTTGTGAAATTACTCAGAAAAGGCTTCTAGTGGTTTAACTGGTGAACCCCCTAGATCTGACCCTGACCCACAACCTAATCCATTGCGGGTTCGCAATCTAGGAACTGAACCTCACTTCTCTGAGTTTGGTGAGGGTCGGATTCGATTTTGGTGGTTCGGTTATTGCAACTCTACATCTCTACGGCCTATGTACCCACAGAGCTGCCTAACTAGTTATTCACTATTTGTGAGAGAGAAAGGCCTGGTTGCTGTATTTATATTTTTTATATAAACTAAAGATAACCTAAATCATATACCTGCTGCATATATTAAGTAGAATATAAGTTCTAGATCCCTGGATATCATCCTTGCTTTTACTAAAACTAAGAAAGCCGATGGTAGTGTCAGCCTTAATGACCTGAAATGTCACGGGCTAGGAGCCGGTCCAACCTATAACCTAGGTTTAGATAGTAGGAAATTACTATGGAAGCCTAACTAAGGCCATATAGACTAAACTTAA